GCGAACTGTAAAAGAGAGAAAAAGAGGCGGGAGATCATCCTCTAGATCTCCCATCGCATTTTGCCATTTTACGGTGGAATTAATTTCGAATTATTGTTACAAACGTAAAAGCTTCTATAATAAATTTACCTTGTAACTCTTCTCAATGTGCGATATCACTTGCAAGCGTTGATTAAGGAAAAGATCTTGAAAACCGTAATGTTTTGAAAAAGACATTTTTGATATTTATGAAGGTACTTTTCTTTTAATACTCGAAATCAAGACTATTTCTATCTAAAGTCTTGAGGAAATGTGAAACGCGCGCACGTAACAATAAAGATTTACAATATATGTATATATATATATATACAGAGTGTTCAGCGTAACGATCCGAACGATTTTTTAGACACTTCCAACAGATAAGAAAAAAGTTGAAAGATAAATATTCATCTGTTTTATGCAGGCTACAACATGCGATAAAAAAATTTTAAAAAAATTATTTTTATTAAAAAAGTGACATTTCGATAGTGATTTGAATTTGTCTTGAAGACTCTTACATTATAAAAAAAAATTGTATGGTGCTTTAAAAATTTAAGATATTTTTATTTCTTTATAAAAAAAAATTTGTTTTAATTTATTGCATGTTGTAGCCTATAAACTAAATGAATATTCATCTTCCACCTTTTTTTCTTAACTGTTTGAAGTGACTGAAAAATCGTGCGGACTGTTACGCTGAACATCTGTGTATATATATGTATACATACACATATATATATAAAATATATATCGTGTAAAGCCAAATATATATCGTTAAAGCTTAGAAGCAAATTAAACAATACATCCATAATGATTGTTGATTTAAAAAATACATACGTATACATACGTGTATGTATTGGTAGCCTCATATTGATTTCTAATACATTCCATAGCGAGTTACCTCATAAATAATCTCAATTAATCGAAACATATTATATTTTTGAAGTTAACAAACGATTAACAGAGTCGTGAAAATAAAGAATTCATTTTAGTATATTAGAAGCATGGACGAATTTTTTTGTTAAGCATGGAATCGTAAAGAATACATAATCGTAAAATATGCGTGCATATAAGCTACAAAGTATACACATTTTTTTGTACAACATATCAAAATTTTAATCTGTAAGAATCTATTCGGGACGATTTTTCAGCAGAAATCTTCTAATTCCGTGTTTTTTTCTCAAGAGAGAAATTGGCAATTTTCTCCTTATAAAAATAAAGGAATATTGTCAATGATATAATGGAGATCAAATATTTTATTTTTTTATGAGATTTCTAGATTGTTCACTCTTTAAATTAGCAAGGTCTTACAATCAATAAAATAGGAAATTAAATAGCATAATATAATACAATAATATTAAATGGAAAGGTGTATCTTAAACATTTATAACATTTTCATTTTATTTACAGACAAAACTTACACCTAAAAAATACAAAATTTTATCGATTTATTTTCACGAATGTGAATTTCTTATTAACAGTTACATGTTAAGAAAGAAATAAGAATCGATATCCATAATTCATTTATTACTTGCGATATTATTTTCTATTATGTCTCGCAGATTTATTTGATTTGTCAAATTGTCAACTTTTCATAAAATTGTCAAGTGACTTTAACTACGAAGAGAAAAGATAAATTTGAAATAATAATTTGGGAAAGATCAAACTTTGTCTACAAATAGAAGTAACTTATATTGAAAATGGAGCAAAATATTGCATAATATTATATTACGATTATATACAGAATGATTAGAAATAGATATAATTGACACACAGTAATAATATTCCACGTGATTTCTAGTGGATAACTCGAATAACATTGTTTAATAAAAAAAAAAGGAAAAAGCTTTTCTGAACATAAAAGAGTAATTATTTCCTGGTCTTTTTTTGATGTAGCTGAATACAATTCCATTTATCAAATTGCTGTACGTATTACATCGAAAATTGCGCAAAAAGATCTATTTTAGCATACTTTGACATAACTATGTCTGTAACATGTCGAAGGTTTGTTGCGATCAAAAAGTTCTTAAGAAATCCTAAAATGAAACAAATTACTGTCACTTCTAATTCTAAAATATCTTTGGCTTTATAGGATTCTTCAACAAAATTCTTTTACACGATTAAAACCACAAAAATAGTTATTGCAAATATAGGTTTTGTATCGAAAACAAAAATTAAAAACTTATTTTTGCACTTGTTTTTTCACTTATTTTTTTTGTCATCAGATAACGTACATCTGATATTTGCCATATTTGCTTAATGCAAAAATTTTAGTTTATATGTGTAAAATAAAATGATTTCACTATAAAGACAATATGCACGGACAATATCGTGAAATAAAAACCACGATTAAAAGTCTAGAATAAAAAATTATTTAGAATTATTATACATTTTATAAATTTAAATAAAAATAAAGATGAGCAATAATGCATGTAAAATAATCAGGGTCAGGTAAGTTAATATATTTTTTAAAATTAAGTTAAAGTTAACGATTCATAAAATTGATTAATTGAGTAATTTATTAATCGAATAATGATCGAATAATTAAAAGAAAGTAGAAGAGAAAATAAGAATAATTTCATTCCCATTATTTTTCATTACGACGAGGGAATATGCAAATTATTGATTCCAGCAACATTTCTTTGTGATTGAATAAATCGCGTTTCAGCGTGTACTACGTAACTCAGAGAAATAAGTATTTCTCTAGTTTTTCATATGTTTCTTTTCAAGAATAGAGGCCTTGGTTAATTTTCTTATGCTTTATGCATTATGCAAAGGTCTGTGCTTCGGCCTTAAATGAATTTTACTTTTGTAAAATTTTTGAATCGATATTTGAATAGAAAAATTTCTTATTTTAGACAAGTTACACAAATAATAAAATTTACCTTGGAATAATAACACAAAGTGTTATTTTTTTAAATATTTATTAATAATTCAGGCATATTTTCTATAAGTTTATCGATGTATGCTACTGGATACATACCATAAATAACATCTTTAATACATCTAATTTCGGAACTAATTTTCAAGGTGTTTTTTGCTGATTTGTTTTCTTCATTCCGAACTTTTATTATATTTCTTGAAATTAGGAACCATGTACATGGGTGTGATTAATAATGACCCAGTAATGCAGAACAATGCAAATATTTCTTCCTGTAACATAATATCTTCATTAAAGATAAAATTAATTAGATAAATATTCAGTAACAATATTCATAATGTCTTGCCTTCTAATTTTTCTACAATGTTGTAAATTTATATTTTTTCATGGATAGAATATATTTTGAAAAGGAAAATTGCTCAAGTCCTCTATGTTTTTTCCATTTTAATTTCAAAATCTTTTGATGTCAGTAAGTTAAAAAATAATAATTCAATGAGAATTTATGACTGCACATGCTCATTAATGCTCTTATTTATGATTAAATGGCATACACAATCTGTGTAACTTCATATTTAGATAGAAAAATATTTTAACCATATTAAATTCATAAATATGACGACAGAATGAGCATACACAGTCAAAATTTACTGCTGAATTATTATTGTCTAACTTATCGACATAAAAAAAATCTTTGAAAATAAAAGGAAAAAATTAGAAATCATCTCAGGCTAATAAAAACGTATTGAAATAAAAAGTTGCAGAATGGAAAATTTCTAAAATTTTATTAGCAATATTTCTTGAAATATTGGTACAGAAAGTTTAATTTGTATGAAGGCAACATTGTATATTTATGTTTGAGATTACGTTACAAGAAATATTAAATTTTCTATCAATTAAACGTCTTATTAAATATCCATCTTTTTTTTCTTTTTAAATCAAATACTCGTAAAAAAAAAACATAGAAAAGTTATCCTTCAAAATTTTTACTATCAAACATTTTTTAAATCGATATAAATGAATCGGAAAGCCGATAATCATGCAGCGTAAGAAAATTAATTACGCGTTGCATATTTCTTATGTAATTTAACATAGATTTGACAAGAAAAATCTCTACTCACAGCAGTGGATACTTTTACTTGGGGTGGTGTGCAAACGATTGTATTACAGTACGTCCTGGCAATAACGCCTGATAAACGGGACGCATTTCTCAGTCCGTTGTTAATTGCGAACATTTTTGTTCTCGTTTGTAAACTTTCCGAATGAACGAAATCGTGAAAATTAATATCTCTTTGAGTCCTTGAAGAGTAACCAGGAATATAATTCGTTAGATAAGCAATCCTATGATATAAAAATATAAGGACAAACGTTCCCGCGAATGTGCAGTAGAAGAGTAAATTTGTACTCAAATTCGATTGGCTGTTCCAGTTTCCTAGTGATTAGTTGTTTTCGATACGGCATAGAACATTAGAGGCTCCGCACAATATCAGAAATCATGTATTATGGAATACACGATTTCTGATAGGTTGAAATTCTTATTCTCTATTCCCTGTTCCTTTTATTATGCGGAGTCCCTTACTGTGTTCCATCAGAGAGAAGCCTGAGGCCAGTATTCATAGTCAGTTCTTATATTCAAGATCGTCTTTAAGTTCAATCTTAAGATGTCACCAAAAGACCACATTGGCGTCTTAAGACAATACTTAAGAAATGAAATAAGAATCGACTATGAATACCAACCTTAGCTGTTACTTTATTTTGAAGCATCTCTATGTCCACAAAATGTGGACAATGCCTACGTAGCCAACGAATTTCGGCCCGTTAAACAAAGCAAACAATCAATCTGTCGACGCTTGTAATAAGTTTATAAGACAACTTACAGTTTTGTCTATCTAACGGACCGAAATTCGTGGACATAGCGAAGAATACAACCAAAAAATCGTGGATATAGCGAAGAATACAACCAAAAAATCGTGGAGATTACCGACCGGTAATGGATATTGGCTACGTAGTTCATTGTTCACATTTTGTGGACATAGAGGCGCTTCAAAATAAAGTAATAGCTAAATCCCGAGCATGACCACTCTAGGTTTCTCTCTGGTATGCAGAACTGTACAGTATTTTGTATATTCGTAACAGATTTTTTTAATCTTAATTATTTTGACGTTTCGCGGGACAAAGTTTCGAATTAAAACGTGTGAAATGAGTATATTTTCACCAAGATTCGCAGAGTAGCTTGTACTCTAAATAATTATCGAGAACAGACTACATATAATATTAATTCATTTCGTGAAGCACATAGATATTTCTTTCTCCAAAGAACAAAATGGATATTGCCAATCCTACTCCTCAAGATCTACAAGCAAAATTATACTTCCTGATGGAACAGTTGCAACATATGGCTGGAGAATTACCGCCAAAATATCAGATGCGATTGCCCTATGAATTATTGTCCGGTTTAGCAAACTCATTGTTAAATGATACCATTTTTGAGATAGTTAAAGGTTTGATGGAGATACAGCATGTCACCGAGAAGCATCTGTTTCAACAGCGACTCCAGCTTTTGAATCAACAGAAAATTGAGTGTCAAGAAGCATTATCAACAACAGTAATAGATGATAAATTGAATTTGATAAAAGCCGCACTGTTCAAGAAACACAAGGAGGAATTAAAGGAAATGGATATGAAATTAGTATTGCAATTAGATCAAAAAGTAGCTGATCAGCAAAGTATATTGGAAAAGGCTGGAGTACCAGGATTCTATGTGACGAATAATCCAGTGGAGATTCAAGTGCAAATGAGGCTATGCGACTTTATATTCAGACTCAGCAAGATGGACATACCAGCTTAATATGAATGTGAAATTCTATCATATATTTTTGTTTATATCTAATCATACTTATTACTTACCGTATAATAATTACATCATTTTATAATTGTTATTTATTGATTATTAATCATCATTAAAATTCTAAAGGTTAATTTTTGAAGATTGCAAAAGGTTTATATTATTTTAATATTTTATTGTAATCAAGATATTTGTTTGTACAATGCAATTTCAGACACATCTTATCAAAAAGTATTATTACAAATTTACATCTATTCAAGTATAATGGATTTCAACATATATACATCTTCTTTTAAAAATAGAAAATATTTCATACATATTATACATGGTATGAATTATCAGAGAAAAATTAAACACTTCTAACAAGAAACACCAGTACCAAAAAAATAAATCATATTATTATACTACATATATTTATACATATTTATACATATATTTGCAATTACATATTGTATAATAATAATGTTAAAAATATGACTATTCTTACAAAATAATGTAATAAGATCTTTTTAACATAACAACAGGTAAATAATTTTTTTTAAGTATAATTTTCTTTTTCTCTTACATAATTATATGTACACACTGTTCATAAAGTAACTGTTCCGAAATAATTATTTTATCAGTCATTCAATTACATTTGTGTTGTAAATAGGAAGTTTCCAAAACGTACTAAATATGAATCGAATAATAGAAATAAAATTATTTTAGATATTTTATATGAGACACGTAATTAAAAAAATCTTTTGAATAAAAAGTTAAATTATTTTCACTTAGATTATCTTTGTTATATAATATATAAATTGTCTTTTCAATAAATTTTTAAAAATAATATATACAAGAAGCAAAATGAGATGTTTCATCAGCAATATAGTAATTTAGTATATATGATGTATATATACTAAATAGCATATATATATATATATATATATATACATATATATAAAATTTATACCAAATACTAAATATACTAAAATTTATGCTAAATTTAGTATATATTAAATATTTAATATATACTATATATTTAGTATATAATATTAAGTACTTACTTTAGTATATAAGTATATACTATTTAGTATATTAGCTATATACAAAATTATTCAGAAGATCAATACTAATTAAAGTGATAGTATTGAATATGGTAAAGAAAAAAGTTCATGAACTGTCCGAATACATCTGTCCTGTATTACTATTTTATCCAAATGTTGGTTGTGGGGATAAAGCATGATCAGTAATTGGCTTAGCGGATCGAAAGGAATCAGTCTCTTTCGTTTCTGAGAAACATATACGATAAACATCGTTGAATGTCGAGACAAAATGCACTTCCAGGCCATCTGTGATGTATTTAGGTAGATCATTGAAATCTTTCTTGTTCTCCTCAGGTAAAATTATACACTTAACATCGACTCGTTTCGCCTAATAAAATATAATTCATTAATTTTGTACCTTGAAATTATATACATATAAAACAAAGCAATTATTTCATGAGTATATAGTATAAAAATAATAAAAATAATTGTTTCATAAAGCTATGATAAATAAATATTAATGCAAATGCATGATTCGATGAAAAATAATTTAGTAAATCTAGTATATTAAACTATATACATTATTTAATAAGAGATATCGAATTTATTTAAATTAGAGTAATTGGAATTAATAAACAAGATTATGTTCATACTTACTGCAATAACTTTCTCTTTGATACCGCCAACAGGAAGAACCTTGCCCATAAGACTCAATTCGCCTGTCATTGCTACATTTTGCCTGATAGCTTGGTTTTTAGCTAAAGATAATAATGCAGTAGCAATCGTCATACCTGCACTAGGGCCGTCTTTTGGAGTTGCACCTTCAGGCACATGTATATGCAAATGAGAGTCATACAAAAATGTATTCGAAGAATCCTCCTGTTTCAAGTAATTCCTTGCTACAGTCATTGCGATATGTATAGACTCCTTCATTACATCACCCAAATGACCAGTGACTTCGAATGTACCCTCAGCCTTTTTACCACCCGTCGGTTTTCTGATGGTACTTTCGATGAATAATGTAGACCCACCCATAGCGGTCCACGCCAATCCCATCACAACTCCGGGAGGCGTTGTTTCATACATCCTGTCATGCGTGAACACAGGCTTGCCCACAAAGTCTTGCAAGTTGTCCATAGTGATATCAACTTTGTCGGCTTCCTTCTTGACAACTTTAAATGCTACTTTCCTATGCACTTTCTCTATATGTTTCTGTAGACTTCTCACTCCTGATTCTCGGCAATAAGATTTAATTAACACCGTGAGCGCATTGTCTTGTATGCTGATTTGTTCTTTGCTAAGACCAGATTCAGTTCTAGCTTGTGGAACTAAATATTGCTTCGCGATAGCGAGCTTTTCTTCGGCAACGTAACCGGACATGTCTATCATCTCCATACGATCTCTTAGGGGTTCCGGAATAGTGTCTATTACATTTGCCGTGCAAATGAATAGTACTTTCGATAAATCTACTGGAACATCTAAATAGTGATCCAAAAAGTTTGCATTTTGTTCTGGATCAAGCATTTCGAGAAGAGCAGATGCTGGATCTCCTTGGTGTCCCCTGAACATAATGTTATAAATAATGTAGAGAGAGAGAGAGAGAGAGAGAGAGAGAGAGAGAGAGAGAGAGAGAGAGAAAGAGAGAGAGAGAGAGAGCGAGCAAGCTCATTTACCAAAAATATTATGAAAAAATGCCAAATAATTTTAAATAGTTCAAATATTCTTTAAATATACTTAAATATATTGGAGATAATATATTGGAGATAGAAATATTTTCTATCTTAAGAAAATATTTATCTATTTTTTTATATGTTTACACAAATTACATACTTGCCAATTTTGTCGACTTCATCTATCAAAATCAATGGATTCTCAGTTTTGGTCTTTTTCAAACATTGAATGACTTTGCCTGGCATGGCTCCCACATATGTTCTTCTGTGTCCTTTGATCTCTGCTACATCCGTCATTCCACCGACACTAAACCTAAAATATTCTCTATTCAAAGCACGAGCAATTGATTTAGCTATCGAGGTCTTGCCAACCCCGGGAGGCCCATAGAAACATAATATTTTTCCTTGAGTACTGCCCTTTAGTTGACTAACAGCAATAAATTCTGTAATAATGAAAAACAAATGTTCAATAAAAAAAACATTATTATACTTAAATAATATATAAGTAGATATATTTTATATATATTTTATATTACCAAGTATTCTTTTCTTTATATCATCCATTCCATAGTGATCCTCGTCCAAAATTTGGACGGCATCTTGAAGATTTAAGTTTTCTGTACTTGTCACACCCCATGGCATAGACGTAAGCCAATCGAGATAATTTCTTGTAACACTAAAAAATACAAAATTTATATAAAATTTATATAAATCTATCAACATACATAATACACATATTTATGATATTTAATACTCACTTGAATTCGCTACTATGACTTTCTAAAAAGGAAAGTTTATTCAATTCCTCTTCCAACACATCCATAACTGGTTTAGGAACTGTCTTTTGTCTTATTTTTTCTCTATATTTTTCTTCTATCGCATCTTTATCATCCTTTTCCAATCCTAATTCTTTCTTAATAACTTTGAGTTGTTCATGAAGAATATATTTTCTATGTTGTTGTTTCACTTTCTCCTCAACTTCTTTACCAATTTTCTGTTGCAGCTTGCTTAATTCATATTCCTTTTTCAAAAGTGCGAGTGACAATCTCAATCTTTTTAGAATCTACAAATAAAATATTACTTTAATATTTTCCTTAAATATATATAGAAATTGTATACACATGCTGTAATATCAACAATATACTTACATCCATTTCTTCTAAAACTTGTTGCAATTCCTGTGCATCTGCTCCAGTTAAGGCAGCACCTAAATCACTAAGGTAAACAGGATTATCCACAACTCTTTGTCCCTGATGTAACATTTGTTGTAAAGATTCGCGATACAAAGGATTCATGCTGATTATGTCTCGGATTGTTTTAATAAGTTCTTGTGTCAGTGCCTGTTTAAAAAATATTTCTGATAATACAGTTTTTGGTATTGTAATAACATTATATAACAAGATACATTCAAAACTTGAACTGTTTTCAAAATAAAGTAACTAATTTTTTTTACAAAACAAAAATCTTTTTTTGTCAAAAAAGAAAATATTGAATAAGACAAGATAAACTTTAGTAAACATTATCATTCTTTTCAGTTATTAATTTTTGTTTATTCCATTGTTTTATTTACATATGTAAAGTGAGAAATGGGGAGTGATTTGCTCATTAATTAACTTAAACAAAATATGAAAATGGTACTATTTTCACAATATTGCGAACATTTTTTAAAATCATTTTATATATTACCTTAATCTCCTCAGTTTGTTTAAACTTTTCATGTGTGACATTTATAACTTCCACCATTAATATAGGTTGACTAGGTTGACCAGGCTGAGGAATTGATGAAACTAATGGTTTTTCTGTATTCTTCTCAGGCGCATGTACTTGCGGTTTTATTTCCGTAAAGCTTGTTTCATTGATCTTTTCTATTCTCTCAGTTCGTTCTACAATTCTATTTTCACCTTTTTTACGCAATGATCTCCGGTTAACCTTGTTACTGGTCATTGTGTCGTCTACAGGAACGGTAATTGTAGTATTTAATAGTGGAAATGTCAGTTTCATCTCTGTATAAAGTAGGCAGGACAATATTTAAGCAAAATAATCGAAGAACAAGGCCATGTCAATTTAAACAAGAAAATTTTTATCAATTAACAGAACATTAAATTTCTATAAAATGTGACTTCGTTGCAATATGGAAATACAACAATTAAATATATTTTTCATACCGTGTTCTACTTTTGGATTGGCATCCTCAAATATTTGATTAACTATCTTGATTCTTCTATGTGCCATAACCACTAATCTCAATCGATTTCCTAAATCTTGTACCTCATGTACTTGAGCAAAAGTTCCAATTGGATAAATATCATCTAAACTTTGAACGACATCAGCTTCATTTCTGTATGAATAAATGATATATTAGAACTGAAATTATTTACACTACATATATCGTTCACATAATTATTAATTTTGACATTATTTATGTCAATATAAATTAATGCTAGAAAATGATTTGAAGGAACTTACTCTTCGGATTTTTTCAAGAAAACTCCCACGTAAGGCTGATTTAGCTTTATCTTCCTACGTATTAAATCGATCAGAACTGGATTACTAATCTCAATTAATTTAATAAATCTGGGAAATACTGGATTTCTATTGATAGCAATGACTGGTACATGAGGCCATACTTCAGGCACCACCACAGTTGCAGGCAGTGAGGCAGGATAATCTCCAGATTGTTCTCCATTTCCATCACTAAACACAACACGTATATAAAATAAAAAACTATACATTCTCAGAAGTCAGACACAATATATTTTAGGTATTTATAGTTAATATATTTATAAGATTGTTTCCTTAACACAATTGAAAGAAAATTAAGATTTTCAGAAAGAGAAGCAAATTATTTTTCAGTTTGACATAAAATTATTGATTAAAAAAAAATATTGCTGAAATAATTCTTAACATAATCAAATGTCATTTCATTTCACAATCCTTGAAAAAAATCACTTTCTAAATTGTAACGCTTTGATGATCTTCACAAAGTTAATTGTTTTTAATGATTGATAAAGTAATATTTATAACTGGTTCCTTCGTAGTAATTTCAAAAGTGACAACTAAAGAAATGTAACAAATTATATGTAGAATATTTTTTAAATTTTAATTTGTTACGTGTAAAAACTAATAAAGACCAAGTAAAAATCGAAAACATTATTCTTTATATTAGTAAATTAATTGATAAAATTATTATTGTATTATATTACATATTACAATTAGTATCTTTCCTTCCTAGCCAATTTCTTTTTAAATTTGTTAACAAAAAAAGAACTGATGTATATTTCTTAATTATCTAAATTGTTCAATTGATTGAAAATAAGTGACAGACAACCAAAGATACCTATGTACACTTTTTACATCTATTACAATCAGACAGTATGATTTTTGTATACGACAATTTGCAGCAAATTCAAAAAATGTTCCCTAACTAAAACACTTTGTTTTTTCAAAAAAGTATAAAAAAGGCACATTGCCTTTTGTTGATTTTATTTTAAATTTTAATTCTCTGGGAGCCATATATATATACTTAATCAATTTACCTCGGAGGGTCTCGATCAGAGTATTTTTTCGTCGTGAAAAATCTCACCGATGTTAATGCGGGGTGAATCCGCGTGGTCCTAAATAATTCTGATCTATAACCCGAGCATTGTGTTCGTGTCAGTCTGGCGCAAATCGGCAACGGTGTTTGATAATCCAAAGGCGACCGGTTTCCGCGGAATAAGCGCGTGGTCGCATTGCGCTGCCGCAGGATCACCGGCAACTTAGAACTCATCGCTATCACGAGTCGCATCCTCCGAAACTGTCGCAAATTCTCATAAATCCTTTTCTCTCGTATTGTTTGGCTTCGCTATTCTTGTAAAAATTATCGTGAAGGCTAAAGGAAAGACGATGAATCGAAGACTGTTTAGGTTAGAACATAACGTACATCAATGCATACAAGAATACGGAACTTAATCCTAACCTACAGGACATAATCTTATGCCATCTTACGTGATCTTGCGTCAGTTTTGCGTTACTTCACACGTAAAACTAAGGTCTTGTTTTTTGAATCGAAAAAGCAAGAAACGGGAAATCAGAAGAAGAAGAAGATCTTGTTTTGAATCGTGCGTTCGTGCGTTCAGCAGAGAAAGCTTGAAACTGTTGTAAAATTCTTCAATATGATTGGTTTATACATTTAGATCCATAAGGAACCAAAAGTAAGAATCAATCGTATTGAAAAATTTTATAACAATTGCAAAGCTGCGCAAGTCCTAATTTTTGCAGCCAACTTCTTGGCTGTGTTCCTTGGCTGCAGATGTGACAGTTTATGTTACGTACACTATAGATTTTCAGTACAGGCAGTCAATTTTGGAACATAGCCCTTGTTGTACTTGACAGTAAGCTAAATCTAATTTCGAATCATTTGGAGTCATTCGATATTTCACATACCGTTGAATCCTTTTAATTTACATGATACTTTGACCTGCTTTTGTAGGTCAGAAGTCCACTTGGAGAAGAAAAAAAAGAATTCTGTATCTTTTATGAATTCTGTATCTGCATCAATCACAAAACGCTTATTAATGTAAATTGTATTTCTGTATTTCTAATACTTTTATTTCTAATACTTTTATTAATTTTTTTACTTTCTATATTCGAATAATAACGAAATTTTGTAGCGTAGTAATTTTGAAACAGTTTTGTAGCAATCACACACACACATATTCGAGTTTTTATATAAATTATTAATATTAAAATATATTTAAATTTTTACACTGTAATTACTTAATTAGACAATATTATGCAGCATAAAACTTAATGCATTTTTTCAAAATTCATATCGTATAAAAAAAAAAATATTGTACTTAATACTTTTTGAATTTTAAATTCTTATATATAAATGTTAGTTTATTATACATTGCATGAAACTACTCTAATATAATAATTTAATTTAAATTTTGTATTTTAACATTTAAATTAGTATAATATATTTTTATAATTTAATTATAATTGAAATTGCTTAAAAAATTAAATATATTTAATTATAAATTTATTTGAATAATATAAGTACATTTATAATAATTAAATATATTATATATAATGTACATTAATAATTTAAATTATTAATAAAAATAATTTTCATGTAATGTAAAATAAAACTTATATGAAATTTATAAATTTATAGAACACAAAAGGGAAATAAGACATAATTTCTTATTATTTTGCAAAATTTAGAATAAAATTGCTGGACAATATTGTTTAATTAACTATTGTTACTTATTTTTATAACTGCTATTATATTTTTTATAAAATTGTTAGAAGAATAATTGTTCAAAGGTAGAGGGAATATATTTTATTTTTTAAAATTTCATACAGATATTATATCCAGCTTTTTATTAAATTAAAATTATGGATAAAATTATCCGCGATGTACAAATAAATAAAAAACCTTTGATTTCGCAATCTTCAAGTAATAGCAACCATTCATATTATAAAACACATCAACTTGTTGCAACAAAAACAAAAAACAATGAGGAAACAAATGACAATAATATTATTGATTACAAAAATATTTCACTCTCTATGACAGGTAAATTATTATTGTAGCTGCCATTAAAATGATACATACATATATGATATACATATTATTATTAAGATTCTGTTAAAATACGAATGTTTCTGTACAGGAGAAATAAGTTCAGGTTTCATACATAGAAATAATTTAACGAAAAAACAGACTACTGACATCACTTTTGTAGAGGATACAGAAAACGCTGATGATGAAGAGTTTATTTCAAATATGAAAATGATCATTGATAAAAATTATAAAACGTAACATTAATTAACAATTAATTTGCATATGGATAATTACTTGCGTATGAACACATATTTTCTTATTTCGATGTTTTAATTGATATGAACAGGCAAGATAAAGAAAATTTTAGCATAAGAGATTTGCAAAGCAAATCGTATATATCAAGAAAAAAAAAATGTGCATTCAGCGACGAAGATCAAAATCTGATGAAACGATTTAAAAAATCTATCGATGAAAGGAAAGCTTCGTGTACAGAAGTTTCACAAAAGTTACAGCAGGCTGAGCACGCCGTTATTTCCGTTAGCAATCATAATTGCTTAACAACTTACACTACTCCACAAATTATCCCATTTATGAAATATAATAATAGCGATATGAGTTCCAGGTATATATCAATTTAGATATTTACAATCAATCGAGCGTTTGATTGGAGTTAATGTGTACTGTTTTCAGCAACTCGAATGAACTGATTTTCCATTTAGCTTCAAAAATGCAAAATAATGGGTTGATTGGAGAAATATCAGGGAACGCAAAAACTGTTACCGAAATAGAAATCGAACGGCTAGTTTACAACGAAATGCAGTACTTTACACCTCCCCAAAAAGACAATTTATAATTCATAAACTTAGTTTATATAAATATAAAATAATTTTGTAATTTACATTGTAAAACATTTCGTATTAATAGAAAAGTAGCACATTTCAAAATTAGCAATTTTTTTAGTAGAGCATTTTTGAAATTCTTTCTGAATTGGATCAATGTTTTATTAGTGAATATATATAATTTTACTTCTCTTTTCATGTTATAATTATATATACTTTCAATTATGAGTTCAAAAATACAACCGCAACCTTAAAATATAAAGAAATATATAACAAAATTTTAATTCTTATTTAAGTCGTGATATTTTTCCATATAAACAATGTATCGACAATATATTGGGTCATCTAAAAAGTATCCGCGGTTTTTTGTCACTAGATATGTGTTGATGGTCATATATCTAGTGACAAAGTACCGCGGATACTTTTTAGATGACCCAATATATTTGTCGTATATTTTAACAAAAATATATATTATTATAAATATTATATTATTATAAAAGTCTTTAGGATTAATTTCTTTTTATCATCTCAAAAATATTATGACTTTTGTAATACTTGTATCACTTTTCTATCAACGCAACGTTTGTTTTGTCAATGATTTGTTGTAGTATTAAAATTATATAAGCTGTATTTATTAAGAACATCTTATCATTTATTAAATACATAAACTACTTACATGTTCTTTGAAGTCTTGGAATTTTGATTTCATGAGTAAGTAATCAATACTCCGAAAATAAACGATTGTAAAGAAAATTAAATCATTTAAATTAACTACATATTTGATATATCTTGTTGTACAATGTTGTAGTTTGGTATAATTTTTTAATGCGTTACGTCGTTTATTATATGGAATTTAAATATTCCCGCGAGATGAGTTGACAAAGTTCTCACCAGATGACGCGAAAATAATCATAACCTATCAAAGAAGCTTTTAAAAACGTAAAGAGATTAAAATTTAAATGCGTATATTAAAAATGATTATTTCCATGCAAATTTAAATAAATATTTGTATACTTTGTACAATATTATTAAATTTATTTAACAGCGAGTGTTACAATTGTGAGATACTTGGAGTAATCAAAAGCGCAATGAGTGAATTTAAATTACATCATTTAATAGTGCAGTTGATTGAATTATTGGGGTAAGCGGCAAAATCCATATTTTGTAATTTGCAAAATTATGTAGATTTAAAGAAATTTGTCAAGTCGCATTATTTTACATAAAGCATTATTGCTCGCAACAAATATGTGTATTTTTTTAGTTCGGAATCTGCTCCGGAGAGACACTTGGAAAAGCTACAAAAAGAAAGCTTAACAACAAATACATTAAATGTGGTTGCTCCTCACAGCTGTATTCAGCACCTTGCCAAGATTTCGTCCGTACCAGAATTATTTATACAAAAATATGAAGAACTAAAATCAAAAAAGTTAGTTGGATTAAGCAGATATTACAACTTACTTACAGAAGAAAAACAATAAAAAATATATTTTTTCAGAGTAGATTTACTTGGTCCATTTGTACAGACTCTAGAATTGATATCTCAAGATGAAGAACTGAAGAAATACTTGTCAAGATCCCTACCGAGAGCCACGACTAGTTCTCTGAAGGATCCGACTATTACACAAGAAGACTTGCCAAAGGTCTTGTATAATATATAAGTATATAATATCTTTAATGAAATTTTCCTCAGTTATATAATTTAATTAATTATTTTATCTCTACATAATATATACTGGTATAATATATACATACGTATAATTTTTTTAATTCAATAGATTTGCAAAACTGTTATTAAAGCTGCTGTAGAAGGAGGAAAGAAATTAAATCAGCAAGTTTGTTCGATCAGTAAGAAAAGTGATGGTACTTCAGTGAAGCATAATTGGGTAATAGAACGTCCACGCATAACTTGGGATTTTCACAGTGACACCACTGTAGCACTTTATCAAAGTTTGTAAATAATTTTGCCTCTCTTTCAAAACACAAGATTTAAAAATGATGAAATGTGCATGTCTAAAATATTTAATGTTTATAGAAGTTGTACCAATTGTATCTCAGGAGTCTATCCTTCTTTGGGATATTTTATATTGTTTGAAAGGAATAGATGGATCGTATATTGTTTCGGAACCGTTAACGAGTCCTTATGGCGTTAAGACTTTCAATATATCACCGGATGTTGGTAAGAAACAATGTCAGAAATTTTAATCTCGAGTAACAATTATTACAAATATGAAGTTAAATGTTTTGAATTTTGCCATTAGGTATATCATTTAAGCAATTAGCGCAACAGATATTACCTTTAGCTTCCTATTATTCCATGACAGTGAGATTTGTTGAAGAAAAGGTCTCACCGGATGATGGACAAGTCAATCATGCTCTAAGAGGAGCTATACGATCTCTACTGAAGGATTACTTGGTATAATAAATTGCCATCTACAATTTGACAAGACAAAATATATGATATATTTTTGAGAAAAGATTTGATATATTTTTGTCTCTATATTTTAATTTACATCAATTTTGCTGTCTTTTAGCTTTTTGTCGTGCAACTTGAAACAGAACACATTCATGGTAAATTAAGTTTGCAGAAACTATGGTTTTATATTCAGCCTACTATGCTTACAATGTCCATACTTTCTCAAATTACATCCACAATATGTAAGGTTAGTCTAAAATATCAGTTAATTAAATAATTTTAATTATCTTTATTTCTAAATATATAAGTAGAATATTGTAGAATATAGATTGTGTTTTCTATAACTAAAACATTAGAAGTATAATGTAAAGTATGATATAAAGCATTTGATATTAGGCAAATGCCAGAGGGGGCAAAGTATTGAGCCTTTTGCATGAGCAAACATTAAATAATGTCAGTGGCGAAGCAAAGTCTAAAGAATTATGTTTATATCTGATGCAAGCGGCGAGCATGCCATATATGCAAATTTTAGAAAAATGGGTTTACAAAGGAGTGATATGCGATCCATATCAGGAAGTTAGTATTAAATCAATTTTGTTATGATGTACATTATAAATGATACATTCATATTTATCCATTATTTATCAGTTCTTTGTAGAAGATAACGAGTTAATTCAAAGGGAAGAACTTCCCGTGGATTATTCTGCAGATTATTGGGAAAAGAGGTACACTATGCGATTAGAAAGAATACCTGTATTCTTGAATGAACATGCACAAACCATACTTAGAACAGGAAAATATTTTAATGTGATTAGACAATGTGGTATGTTAATGTAAAATAATATATTCGTATTTATTATATTATTAAAAGTTAAATAGAGCATTGGTTTACATAACAATCGTTAATCATATTTTTGATCAATTAGTTTGCAAATTGTCAGTTATAAATTATTTTATAACTTTAATAAATCTATATGTAGGTAAAACAGTGCAGTGGGGAAAACAAGAACCATTAAGCTATCAGTATCAAGGGCAGAAATACATAGCTGCAATCGATAGGGCATATTCAGAAGCTGCCAGAAAATTATTAGAGGTACTTATGAAGGAAAATGATCTGATGGGTAGACTACGTAGTGTAAAGAGTTACTTTCTTCTTGCCCAAGGAGATTTTGTGGTAAGCTAATAATAAGTTACATGTTAAATAATGCTGTTAATTTTATTTATTTTATTAAAAATTTTATTAGATATTTATGTCATGTTTTTGGCTTTGGGTGAAAAGATTTACGATAATTATAATTTGAATAGATATATAGATAATATTATGTACAAATTTTGAGATAACAGTAATATAAACTTTAATAAGAATTTGATATTGATGCTTTAAAGAGTTCAAAGTATAAAAGCCTTCAATATCATAATTTATATTTTCATTACTATAAATAGCAAATATATCAACATTTCATTCTTATTGTCTATGCAATTTTAAACAGGGATGAAATACAGGGTGTCCCCAAAAAAGAATCATAGACTTTAAGGGCATATAGAACAATAAAAAATAAGTCAAAGAGTCCTAATAAATAGGTCATTTTCACCGCTCCTTTTATGAACGATCTTTGACTAAACTTTTTTATGCTTAGAATTCTTTTTCTCTAAAAATGTTAAGAAGCTACTAAATATTTATTTCTCAACATTTTTATTATTCTTTATATAACAAAATATTTGTCTAATTTTCCATTAGGTCCAATTTATGAATCTTTGTGAGGCCGAATTGAACAAGAGTATGTATGATATTGTTCTACATCGTTTAGCATCTCTTCTCGAAGTTGCTTTGCGAATGTCTACTGCAGATTCAGATCCCTACAAAGATGATCTGAAGCCGGAATTACTTCCATACGATTTACAATATCAAATGTTCAGAATACTCTCCATTCAAACTAGAGATGAGAAAGGTATATTTCATTAAAAGTATCATATATACTTGCCTAGTTATATTTAAATAAAAAAAATTAATATAATAAAAAAATTAATCTTCCTTGTAGAGTATTGCTTTCAAGCAGGTAAAGTTTTGACCGGATTAGAAGCTTTCGTCTTTAATTACGATGTTAAATGGCCAGTTTCTCTAATTATTAATAGAAAGGCCATAGCTTGTTATCAAATGTTATTTAGGCATCTATTTTATTGCAAATATGTTGAGAGACTCTTATGCAGGTAAATAATTTTAACAGATTTACGATTTATATCCATAGCAAAATTTTAAAATAAGAAAAGTAAAATAGTAAAATTTTTTAATTTGATGAATTATAGAGTATGGATCAGCAATAAAATAGCGAAGACTTTTACGCACGAAGTGGCTATGGCTTACAGACAGGCGTTTTCATTACGACAGAGAATGCTTGATTGTATACAGCATTTGGAATATTATATGATGGTAGAAGTCGTGGAACCAAATTGGTTAAAATTTATAAATAAGATGAGCAAGGTGATGATTCATTTTTCATTTTTATTTAGAAAATATTAATATTAATTTTTTATGTCAATAAAATATATAAATTTTATATTTGACTTTACATATTTATGTGATAAACTAATACCAGGTTAGTAATGTTGATGATGTACTGAGCGTGCATCAAGATTTGCAAGACAGTTATTTGAAGGAATGTATGTTAACGGACCCTGATCTTCTTAGCTGTATCACCGGTATATGCGCCATATGCGTAGAATTCTGCAATTTTATGCAGGTGAATCTTTTGTTATATATTTTTTTCTAATAATTATTTAATTCATTGCATGTATAGAAGTATTAACTAACGATCTCTTTCTCTAAGTTGCGACTATTATTTCAATTGGATTCGTTATACCGCTTTACTTATATTAATACATAATACATTTCTGAATATACTAATACATAAATACTTTAAGTCTCATGTTCTTTCCCTTGTATAATAATTTTATATAAAACATTTTTATGTAGCAATTTAAATATATTTTTTATAGATTGATTTATTATTTTCCTTGAATCATGATATTTGATTTGAAGCTATTTTTAAAAAATAAAATTTTATTTAAAAAAATAAATAACATTTAAGAAATAAATAATAAAGATATAGTGGGAAAGAAAACTATAATGGATGAGAGTTTGATATATTAAGTTTTGATATACTAAGTTTTAATATTCTACTAATGTTAAGCGTATGAGCCGCTACTACATTGATGCTGAATTGACATCCATGATCGGTACCTGTCAGGAAGATGTCTATGAATATGAGGTATATCTTCAAAGCTTTAAGCTCGTCCGAATGCATCTTTGTAGTCTTAGAGTCATGAAGAGCATTTCTTTGCGGATGACATCTTTTAAAGATCATTATTATTAAGAACATGTGACTATGATGTGTATATATATATATATACACATATATTATTTATATATATATATTATTTATTTGCGTATATTATTTATTTGCATGGTATAACTTATGTTTTATAAATGTTAATCTTACCAGACACCCTATATACATATGTATAAAAAATATAAAGATCCTCTAGTCAGAATCTGGACATGGAGACAAATGGCGGCAATATATAATATAATTCTTTATTATAACTTTATTTATTGCAGAGTAAGAACGGCGTTTATGGCACTTACAGCACGTCCAACTTTTTCACAATCCGGCCGGACAGCCGAATTGTTCGGCCGTATAGTCGGATTGTAAAAAAGCAGTCAGATAGGCCGGATACCGGATATCCGTTGCATCCTTAAGTACAAAGCAATATTATAATATCTGAAAATATTTGTTATTTTATCCTAAATTATGTATATCTCGTCATATTAAATTAAAAATCTACATTAAAAAATATTGAAATTACATCGCATGAGTACGTACACTGTAGTAATTGTTCTCGAGAATTATAATTTATAATGATATGTATTTATATTCAATTATAAGAAAGGATAATAATTATATTTTTATAATTAATCGTAAAAGGCATGGTACTTGATAATAATTTGTTATTGCAGTTATTTGTTTATTATCTATCATCAACCGCGTTTAATAGAATTATTTATTTTACAACTGTTGGAAGTTTTCTTCACTTTGATTGGGTTATACTTTCAGATCTAAAAGTATAATTCAATCAGTGCGAAGAAAATTTTCAACAATTGTAAAGTAACATAATTTCGGTGCGCAGTTGCAAAATAAACATTTTACTAAAAGTAGACATTATTTAATTAAAACTTCGATATGGTGTATCACATTTTCATTATTTTCAAAAAATTGCTTTACAATTTTATTTGTGTTATATACACTCATGTAATATATTAATTGACTATTTTTTCATAGATTGAGAACAGCTCTACAGCAAAAGATGGAACAGGAAGTTTCGAAGAAACAATCGTATCGTTAGATGAGAAATTTACCAAAGTATTGACACGACTCCTAGACCGAATTTGTGACTTGGGTTGTGATAATAACAATGAGAAATTACTTAATGTGTTATGTCGGTAAGATTTCTATTTGTATAATTTTTAAACAAATTATTTTAGCACTTGGAAAAAATAGCTTTGCTGAAGTCCAATCAAAACGTGATCAATCGAAATCCTTCAATCAATTTGTTAAATAAATTCTATTAAGTGCATATAATTTTTAAATCTTTTCTATCAATTTTAAAATCAAATTATATAAATAATAATTTTAAATGATTTATTTAAATTAGGCTTGACTTCAATATGTTTTATACCGATATATTGATACGTCGAGGAAGAGAGAAGACTGACGCACAGCAAGATATATCTGGTTAACAATACATTATTTTTTATCTTTGCTTGCACGCACATGCAGAGACATATACATATGTATACATGAAAGATGAAGATCATTTCAACAAAATGTATTTGTAATTTGCTTTAAATATAAAAATAGTTACAAACAAAGTTCTCGACTTTGTGTGCAATCTTGATTATCCAAGGCCGTGATCATAGATACTGCTTACAGAGGTAAGATACCAAAAGCGTGAATGCTTATAGTAAAAGGAAATGCATTAAAAATGTGATGTTAAACCTAAATATTTGTATAAAAATGGCTGCGTTCAGCACAGAAAACTAATCTATATTTAATGTTTTAATGGATATTATTATTATTATTAACTATATTTAAAAAGACTTTTTTTATTAGGAGTATCATTTTATTATTATATAGAAAAAAAATGTATTGAGAATTGAGAATTTAGATACTAATAAAATTAAATAATGCAATTAGAATATTCTTGGAAAAACCTTTTTGTTTTTTTTAAGTAATTAATTTTTTATTTAATGATACATACATACATTCTTATATACTTTTATATACTTGGCATATACATTTTATAAGATTGCTCCATAAAGATGTACGCTATTACAAGATAGATGGTAGAGCTGGTAGTTGTTCCAGAAGCTTATAGTCTGTTAGAATTGGTCACAGGAGAAGTATGTGATTGTTAGACATAGCTTACTTTTTTAAGACAGTGTTAAGACACTGATGTTCCGTTTAATCTTGTTTGTTGAGTTTTTATAATATCCAATCTGATGTATAAACGAGATGTCAGATTGAAATATAATCACACAATCAACATTGACAGAACACATTGAATCAGGACACCAAATATTGTTTGATGAAACAACTATTATAGCCAAATTCTTGATTTTTTAAATCTATTTCAATCCAATTCAATTAAAAAAAATATATTATTATTTAAGCTGTAAAAGTTTTGGATATTAGAATATAAAAAATAGATATCTTTTATTAACTTCCTTTTATAAATTATAGTATTGCAAATTATTATCGATATTGTTATTCTACAAACTTTGTAGTTTTCAGAATTGTCTCTATTGTACTCAATTTCTGCTGTAGTTTGTCCAATGTAATCATGATTCTCTCATTATCCGTCAATTGATTTTTATTGCAAATAGTACGTTTAGCTTTTTTAATTATATCAGGGTCCATTCTCAAGGTAGTCCACTGCTTGTTGCTCTTTACAGATGCATTGTGAACATACTTTCCATAATGTCTATCATTATCGTAAATATCCAGATTATCATGTGGATTGATAATGATTTTACCATCTCTTAGGAAATGAGGAAACAAAAGAATTCTCTTAGCAAGAAAATCAAAAGGATTCCAAGGCAGTCGCAAATTGCAGTGAACGCAGTGCTCGCCAACCGCTATATCTTCAATGTAGTTAACTAAACGTATTCGAGAAATAAGTCCGACCAACTCGGCCTTACACAGAATCTCAGCAGTGTCACTGACTGCCAAACCATTAAGTAGATTAAACAATACGATAGCGATAAAAAAAACAAATAACATGAACACGATGTGACTCCAAATGGGATGTGAAATAAACGGAATGTCATTGGCATCGAATTCCCCAGTGAGCATGATGATAGTTTTGAAAAGTGAAAGACCAGGATCAGGGAAATTAGTATCGTCGCCGTTTTTGAAGAGTGTATAGAAGGCCAGAGCAAATGCGAAAATAAGAAACAGATAGGGAAACAGAAAGCGTATAAAATTGAGTGAAACGGTCCGGAACATTTCGATGCCGGTGGACAAGCGTGGATGCTGGCTGATGAGGATCACCAACTCCCAGGCCGACAGCAAGATTACTACAGCACCGATTTGAACTCCCGCGCCACTTAACAAAGCAATAGTGAACGTAATCAGTACGATTTCCATCCAGTTCCTTGAGCTCATTAGATAACTCCTAACACAGGAGACAAATTGAAAAATTTCTCGGAGGATGAGCAACAGCAACATCACAACGGTGGAGGCCCATAGGAAATTATTTTGTTGGTTCCAAATAATTCGCAAAGTACTTCCCGAAGTTATGTTGGATCTATTGTTGGTTTCAGTTTGCATCCCATTTTCTATCCTAGCGTCATAAGTCATGCTCAGGATATAAGCGTTTAACAAAAAATAAAAGATCACATAAAAGGCGAAATTTGCGTATAAAACGTGTCGTATTCTGTGCCACTTGAGATAGAGGAAAGAGGAAAGCAGTGGATGTTTCAGTAGATGTTTGAGACCGCTATTGCTGGCGATGTATTTAAACACATCCATTTCGCGAGTTGCTCGATGAGTTTTATATTGATCTATGAATACGTCGTGCGGCATTAAGCAGCAATAGTTAAATTCAATCGTGTACTCGTTCGTTCGATCTTTCCGCGTTTGCAAACAGTCATCGAAGTAGCGCGACAGCGTGTGTGCCGAGATATCTACGATAGGCGGTGTATTGTACTTGTTCATGTGACCGATGTAGCTACCTCGGTTGAGAAGTAAAACTATTGCTTCTTCGCAGCCAGCTCTGGCTGCGTAATGTAGTGGAGTGTTGCCTTTATCTATTAAAACAGATATAAGTTGTAATAAGGTAATATTGGTAATGAAAGCTTACAAAAAGACGTTTAGAAGAGACGTTTAGAATATAATTCAGATATTTATTTGTTCAGAAAATGCTTGGTCTATTATTTGTGATAGTCATAAATATAACACATTAAAGTCTAGTCTTCATTTCTTTCTAATACTTGGAAAGAGATGAGAAATAATTGAACTTTCGTTAAACGTTAATCGTGAGTTATGAAACTGATCTTTATCGTCTTTGTTTATCTATAGAAAAAGACACATCTAAATATAAGATCTATAATAGTTATACTTACTATCACTGCAACGAACGTTCACGTCTTCTTGTTCCAAGATTAACTTCAAACAATTCAGTCGATCGGGCGTATTGTCGATTCCTCGTTTTCTACATTTGGCTGCACCTCTAGCAATACCTGAAGAATTGCATAATCATTCTGCTGAACGGCCTCTTGCGCAGCTTTTCTCACGCTAAACTTTTTTCCTTTAAGTTTTTCCAGGATTCCAATCGTAATTTTGTAAAAGCCTCTTTGTACACTCATTTCCAGCAGCTCTTCAGCTACACTGTAAAGAATCTCTATCTTAATAAACTCCATATTTTTTAGGAAATTTATCTCGTCGTTGATAATCAGGTAATATTTAAGATCGTGCACATTTATCTCACGATTTTCGCTTTTAGGCAGCAATGATATATCCGGCATCTTTTTTTGAATCACCTCTCGCGTTGTCTGATCATTGTAATCTTTGTAAGTGTCAATGTCTGAACACTGTCGGCTTTTCTCCAATATCAGTGTCACCATGTCCCGTTGGCCTTTCATCGCTGCCAAATGAAGAGCCGTCAAACCTTTGCTATTAGGAATATTTGCACTAGCACCGTTCTCCAGCAACAAACCGGCGCACATCAGATCATTCTTTCTCACTGCGATATGCAAGGCAGTCTGCTGTTTCGCCTCGAGATTTGGATTTATTGTTGGTTCCGCTAGCAAAGCCATCAATGTAGGTACGTGTCCTCCTTCTGTAGCGAAATGGATAGGAGCGCGATTATGTAGTTTATTTACTCTATTAGGCTTCGCACCTAAACGCAATAAATACTCCACAAACTCTGTTAAACCATTCTTGCTAGCTATGTCGAGGCATGTTTCTTCCGTGTTCGGATATACATAATTGAGATTCAGAATAGGTGATTGCTTCATCAAATCATGTTCTATAGTTTTTTTGAAAGAACGAAAATTCTTGAATCGTAAGGCATCCAATAGTAGCTTATAAAAAACTTGCGCACTGTCTAGAGTAGGCTTGTAGACACTCAGCAAGCTTTCCTGCAGGGAATTCTCTTCGAGATCCATTTTGCTGTCTGAAAATAAATCTTATATTTACAATTTTTATTTGTTTAAATTTAAAAAGAAATTATTATGGATAAAAATTCATAAATATTTTAACATTATTTTTTTTTTAAACAAGATAAATGGATGTTTCTATGATTAGATTAATTTTTGTAGACTTAGATCAAAACAAAATATCGATGCAAAATGTTGGGGAAAAAATCCAAAAATATTGATATTTAAAATATCGGTGCTATATCGTTCATCTCTAAAATAACTGAAGCTCTCTTAATCGAAATATTTATTAAATTTTAGTTAATTCTGTCTAGTTTGTATCTTCTTAAAAACAAATAATACAAATGAAAAAATATGCAAAAATAATTTGAAAAATTATTTACGTGCAATTTACGTAAATTAAATTAAATAAATAACTTTTTTGATGTTTATACCAAATAAATATAAAATTCAATGGCAGATGCTTGAATTTGTGCATTTTGTTTTAAAAAGAACCATTTAGCTTTCATTGCTTGAATTTCTATTTTTGTTAATGCGAGAATTTCTTTTTACGAAGAGAAATCTTTTTACGGAAATATATGTATAAAAAACTAAATAGACAGTAACGAGACAAAGAAATACAAAGAATCATTATCGCTCACATATTACGTTACATTTAAGTCGCTTACTTTGCGGCTATATAGAGAGCTCTCATATAACGACATTGATCGTGATCTCACCGTCACAATTTATTCAAGTGCCAATTAAGGGTTCCACCGGTTTTATTTTGCACAAATGTTCTCATCACTCTGACATTTTCATTTATCCGTGTACCTTATAATAGATTCAGTCATTTGTCCAGTAAAATCTTGCATTAATCTCTTTGATTGTGATAACAACAAAAGTACATCCGGACGTCCGCTTCCTGTGTTTAAATCGAATCAATTTGTATTATATTCGTATTATATAACACAATCGATAGAATAATTCTTTGCCCATTTCTCTTTTGGTGATTAAAAAAAAAGCGACAAAAATATATATAAATACGAATTATTTAATGTATCAAAAGATGGGCTATTTAAAATTTTATTAATATTTTTACTTCAATATTCTTTATTTTTCTATATTTATTAAAGTATTTATTAAGTATTTATAATCTAGTATTCTAATGTTACTTTTATTTTTATACATAATTATGTATATAAAAATATTTCATTTGAATTTGTACATTTATTGACTGAGTTGGAATGCGTTGATTCTTCAGGTTTCGATAAATTTTTATATCACTGACGCTGATTATCATCAACTTCGCTTATCAACGAAGTTTCGATGACTAATCAAATGAAAGAACTAAAAATTATAGTATTGTGATTAAAGTTCAACACTTGCTTCGGAACTAATAATTAATATGTACAACATTCCTAATAATTTTATTTACAAGGATCTCAAGATTTTACGTTAATCTAAGATCAATAATAAATATTATATTATATATAAGAACAACAATTTTGCAACTCGATATCGATTTTATTTATTATTGTTATTAAATGTTACCAATTTTACATGTTGAAGAAGTGACACGAAACGTGTTGAAGTGTGGTCACGAAACGTACTTGTTAGATTTTATACAATAAATTTTTTAATTATATTTAATTTAGATATCTTGCAGTTATTCGATCACTGACCTGATTTCTTTACAATTTGCATAAAAATATTTATTTACTAAATATCTTTTTTTTAATTCAATATAATTAAATTGTAAGAAGTGTAAGAAATGCAATGATTACAATAATCAATTACAATTATCCATAACTAATTAATATCATTAATATCATTTTCGATATATTCTTTTTTAATTCTATTTGAAGTATTCTTTGATATTATTAATAATTTTCGGCATATTCACACGAATTAATTAAAAACTTTCCATATGTAATCTATTCGTACACATTTATATACTTAGGCAAGTTTTTTTCTCCTCTTAATCACACTATCGTATTAATACAATATTTAATACATAGAAAACGCACTTCCATTCAAGCATCGCGCATCGAGAAACTACGTAAAAAAGATTAAATCAATTTCATATTTTCTTTATAAAAAGGAATTTTGGATTCTCTTACCTATACACTTTGATGAAACTTCCAGCTGTGTCGCATTACTAGCAAGTGTGTTATGCGTAGCGGATTAACAGCAAGCACATTTGTGATTAATAATGCGTGTGACTAAGAATTTTCCTTACTTAACACCTATCGTATTAGCCGTCACTATGTCGACTCGCCCGTTCTGTCAGTGATGGTCAGCAATGAAGAAAGAGAGGGAGAAGAGGATCAAATATTCTCCCTTCTTTGCTGCGTTGCTAGCAACAGTGTCTCTTTTCACGCTGGTATGTAACCGGTTCTTCTACAAATGAAAAGCTTTCAGCTTCACGAATAGATCTCTCGAACAAAAAAAAGGTCACAAACAGGTAGATTGTGGAAGAAGATGAGAATTTCATACGATTTTCTTTCTCGTTCTAGATCGTCAGCGAGACTTGTAATTTATTAATTTTACATGTATATATTTAGTTGATATGATACAGAATGTCCCATTTTAATTGCTTCAGACAAATATTTCAAAAAATATGGAAGATACAGGAAAATTCTGATAAAAGTTGTAGGATATCCAAGGAAGCTCTTTACGCTGTAGGCATAAATTCATTCTTATTGTCTATCAAATAATATTAACTAAGAACAAATGATACTTACAAATGCTGTATATAAACGCATTCCATATCGGAGTAAGTTTGATATTCTTGTTCAAATATCGATAGATGTACATTATCAAAAGATATTGACGTCTATAAGTATTGATACAAAATATCGGAGTCCAAAGAGTTCAAATGTATCGATTTAAAATATCGGTTTAAAATATCGCTTATCCCTAGCATTTGCTATATTTACAATAAATATTTCATAAAATTTATAAAAGAAAAATCAAATAAACAGGCGCTGTAGACGGTGCGTTTTGTTTTTTTAAAATAATTCTATATTATTATATCATTATTTGTAATGATATGTTTCAGCTAATTTTTTAGCCTTCCTCAGCAAAATTTCAGTATATGGTACAAAACGTTGATTATCCATGAGTCGTATAAAAATCGTTGTATAATGAAGTAACAATCGATATCATTGTGTGGCAGTAACATTCTTCCATTTTAGAATAAAAATCTCCAGTTTTTATTACTTCATTATATAATGATTTTTATGCGATTCATGGATAATCAACGTTTTATAAAATTTTGTGTATAAATATAATGATATAATATAGAATTATTTTAAAGAAACAAAAACTGCGCATTGTCTACAGCGTCAATTCCCAATTGCCTGTTTATTTGATGTTTCTTTTTATCTTGGGAATTTAGTTCGTACTTTATTTACTACATAAAATTTGTAATAAATATTTATAATTTATATTAATCTAAGACCACAGAAATATTTTACAAAATATTCAAAATATTTCTTACAAAATATTTTGTAAATTCTGTAAATTTTGTTCTATAAAAATTATGTGCTGTCAGGACATCAATAGTTATCGTTGTGCAATTATTGTTATTTTTCACATTATTTTCATTAGTATTTTAAATTAATTTCTTTATTTTTATTAGAAAGCAAAAACTTTTTCTTGTCTATATTCCGAAAATTTATAATATTTTTTTAAAACTAGTTTAATAAAACATATTTTTATTTTAATCGAGTTAAAATTAATTTTGAAAATCTAAAGATTATCCAAAAAGAGAAAGAATTAATTTTATTTTTATTAATTTGTAAGCTCTGATTGTAATTGTAGAAACTTGAATCAAGCACAATTTATTACATTGTAGATTTAATAAAATTATTTTTTTTTATTGTGCAAATTTCCAATTCATTTCATTCCTGCACTTATCATACAACAAATCGAAATGAATTCCGATTGGAATTATTCAATTATTTCCTAGATTTCTATTTTCGAGGGAAAACGGAATAATTCCGATCAAAATCCATTCTAACTTGTTCGACGATAAATGCCCTGCACTGAAAATCTTCATGTGACATTCGCGACAATCTGCTCAATATTTGCACGCGAGGCAAGCTCGCAGGCGCTTACAGTTTCAGATTCTTCCAATCAAATTGCGAGCCGCAAAAGGTGGGGAATGTAAATCCGGGAAACAGGTACATGCCGCGATACCTTGACGTTTATTCCTCAGTCATAAGTTAACGTGTCTCAAGTGCGTATCTGTGTTCAGCACAGAATTAATAAAACACATACGATCGGCGGTAATCGAGTCAACGTAATCATTTTGTGAGAAGAATCGTTGTCAGCTATTCTTATCTCACACTAAGGATCTATCTTGTCTTATTTACAGACTTTTACTAGTACCCGAGTAAGTAAATTTATTTTATAAAATTAAATACTCTTACTGTGATGATCGAAGATTATGCGAATATATTGTAAATTATTTCGTACAAAGCTCACAGGAAAAAATTAAAATATATATAATAGAGGATAGTAAATGACAAAAAGATAGTGTAGAGCAAAATTATATCCCATGATACATATTCTGATATTGGAAAAATATAATGTCCTTAATGATATAATAGCGATAATCCATCTAGGATAATAGAAAGCAACACTTTTTTTTATATAGAATATTCCGCGAAAACACTGACGAACTTAGAATGAGTTCTAGAAATTATTTCAAAATAAGCAAAAAAAATTCATATACTATTCACTATAAGATATCAGTTCGATTATTGAGATATAGACAATAATTTTATTAATATTGTAACAGATAAAAAATCTATAATCTTAGGCTTTCAATTTATCTTATTTGCTTATTGATAATCACTCACTTAAATACTATTTGAAATAGAAAAATAAAATGCACTTCTGCATATATAAGTTAAGAAGGAAACTTGATTTATAAAAAAGAGCCAAAATAAATTTTGGATCACTTAATGGTTTCCAATAAACAATTTTTTTATGTTGTATGATCTAAAAAAATGTCAAAAATAATCATCATTTAAAAAAAAACTCAATCCACAAAGCTTTAATTAATTATTAGTAAATAAATGTCTTTAAATATTTTTTTGTCGCTCACTTTCCCTTTCTCTCCTCTCTTTCCTCTTTTCCTTATCTCTATCTTTTCTTAGTTTTCTTAATGTCTTGCTTTTCTATTTCTAAATCTTTCTCCCATATCTTTTTTATAATTTTTTTTTATCTTCCCTTAATTTTACAAATTCTTATTTTTTGGCATTTTCTTATATTTAAATATTATCAAAACACCTACAATAACACATTCTTGTGATGTATAAGTATTATTTATATTTCTCTCCGCAAGGAAACTATCGGAGAACTTATCTTAGAGATGATTCTAAACAAAAAAGTTCATGTAAACTATAAGTAAATTCAACTATAGTTATTAAGATATGAAAAATTTAATTTTTATCAGTAATGCAAAATTTGTTAATAACCTCGTCTCGCTCAAACCATCAGTTTTCTCAAAATATGCAATGTGTCATCCCAAATATTTATCTGATATTGAAATTGGCATTTATGAAGACGTTATCGCGCGCGTATATACAAGCTTTCTATTCATTATTATTTCTATTACAAATTTCTGAATAATTGTCTCAGATTGTTTAAAAGTGTCAAGTAAAATCATGTATTGTCTTTAAATATTGAATGAAGAGAGAGAGAGAGAGAGAGAGAGAGAGAGAATGTGTGTTAAATATTATTCTTAAAAAATGCTTCGAACATTAATGATACAATTTATAAGCAAATTATGTGTGTAGAAGTATATTTTTTAAGTAACATTAACATTTATGATACGTTAAATTAACACATATTTTAAATTATTCATGTACTTTAGAATTTACGTTTTAAAACATTATTTTTATGTTATTTATTACTTCATAAATCAATTTTTTAACATAAAAAATTATTAAATATAAATTTAATACAAAGTATTTAAATAAAACATAATCACACTATGTTAAATTAACACTTGAATATATATATGTAAAAGTTTAACACAAAATTTTAAAAGGATTTGAATGGACCATTTAAATCCAATTTAAATACAAAATTTTTTAATATTTATTGTTTCATATTTCAAATAACAAGTTTATCAAAATTTAGATACATATATGATTTATTATCTACTAATTATCTCATATATTTATCGTGTATATATAAATTGTGAATTGATAAAGAGCTGCGAAGAAAAGACACGATTTTTCTTTACAGGAATCATTCGCTTTCTAAGATTCGTATTTGCGAATATTTCGCAATCTCCCTCCAATTTTGGCGACATCACGACATACATTTATACTGTCTGTATATTCTTATGTATCAATTGCTACTCCATACTTTCATTTCTGTATTTGGCTAATGAAATGCTACATATACGCACGTATGTATATACTTGCGTATATCGATATATGTATACTTACTATGTGTCATCTCGATATGGATATACGCGAGTACATCCATAGTAGTCGACACAGTCGCGTTTTTGCCATAAGTATATATATATATACATGTATATACTACATGATGATGTCATTTAGACATATATATGACGCGGATGGAAAAGAAGCAAATAATATCGGTCAACGATATTTATATTCCTTATGAATATTTTTGCGTCATAACGATTAATAATCAATAATAGTAATAAATGTTATAATAAAAAAAGATTTATACAGAAAGACTTTCTCAACGAGGAAGTTTGATTATAAATATTGTAGAAAGAAGATTTTATTACATTTTACTATTTTTGAGAGTAGAAAAATATCTTTAATATCAATGATGTTTTATGATTTTTCACCTTTGCATTTTTTTCTAGCATAATGTTTCTCTTCATTTTTTAATTTTTCTTTCGTTTTATCGCAAAATATCGCAATGATGACGTAAGAATTTTGGTATAAGTGAATAATGAACTCGATGATGGCAACCATATTCGGTTATGTGATTAATGATCAGTCATCATAAAACATTTTATCGTAGGCGACGTTTATTATTTAACTTTTTAGTATTCTTTGGATTTTTTCATTGATCACCATATTTAAAATCGGAGTGTGATCTAATATAAAAGTATAATAACGCCGTTATGCGTGTAAATGTATGTATTTCCAAAATATCAGTTCTATTCAGAGAAACACAAAATCTTTTCTCTTTTATATTAACTTCCAATGCTAATAAGAAGAATATAATAAACAAATAACTATATATTTATTAAAATTTAAAAAATGTTAAATTTTGAATATAATTTTAGTCGTAAAAATTTACTTTGAAATGTGAAAAGTGTTACCTCACAATAAAGAAAATAAAAGTTTAGAGAAGAACTATCGTAAATTGGAAAAATTACGATAAAATTGCTCGAATTTTCAGTCCACTGCATTTTATGTGTCATAGATGTGCATTTATGTATCAAAGATTAGCATAAACATGTTATTTTGCATTATGAGTAAGCCATGAGTCATCATCATTAACCACCGTATATATATTTGGGCACTTTTAAAACTCTCTTCACCCACTTTATGACATGGGCCAGAACTCGAGCGGTGGGTGATCGTGGCGAATGCCCATCATGGACATGCTCTTATATGGTCCGCTAAGAGTTGTTTCTGTACATGAGACTTCGAGGACGCCTTCATTGCATAAATCATGGACATCGCATATGTATACGTATTTTGTTGTCTACTAAAAAGAATGTTCAAGAAATTGTATTGAAAATACAGATGCGCGTTTTAGAAACCGGGATGTATTTAAATAATCATATTCACACGGAAAATAGAACATCTTCGATAGGTACAGATCTTTCTCAAAGATAATTTATTGAAAAATAAAAGCATATTGAAATATGTCTTAGTTGCAGAGAAAAATATTTAAATTATTTTTACATTGCAGAGAAATTATTCCTCATATTTAATATCTGCAATTATATCTTTTTACAAGATTTAATTATAGATTATTCTTTTTTTATCACGATTGTAGAGTACAATAAATTTAGCGAGTAATATGGTTGGAATGGCGCAAAGACCCTGGACACCAACAAAAAGACGAGGCCCGATTGCCGCCGAATATAGCAGCCCAGGACCAGCCTGTGTAACTTTACCATCGTTAATAGGTAAATATCTGCATTGAATAAATGTATGTATCACACATATAAAAATCGCGACGTGTTATATCGCGTTTATTGCGATTTTTAAGGAAAATGCACATTTTTAAAAATCACACATCCTTATTTTTAATTATATTTTTTATATACTTTATATAGCAATACTTTGTAACATTTGCAGGAAAAACAGTTACAGATTCTAAACGAGGAAGAGCACCAGCATTCTCCTTCGGCAGCAGGTGAATAAATTTATATTTAATTTGTTGTTTCATCAATTTCTTTTATACTTTAATAAAATTCTTTTATATTTTAATACTGTAAGAATACTTCAATACAATATTTGTATTACTACGTTGTATTTAAGAAAAGCTGCCATATTTGTAATTTCGTCTTACATCTTTAAAGTATAAAGTATGCTTTTAATTTAAGTAAGCAATATATAACTTAATTTTACATATAATTTGATATATCGCAAATTTTTTAGGCATGCAGCGAAAAATAATAGCGCTGGACCTGGCCCTGGGCAATACAATGTCACTGGGCTTAGCGCAAAAGGTATATAAATGACACAAATAAAATTTGACAAAATATTTACTTAAAATTTTAACGAAAATTTTTCCGAAAATTATTATTAATAATTAGATACTTATTCTTTATAAGAAATTTTATTTCAATTATTTAACTAAAACATATGGAATAAATAATATACGATAATTATTATCTGTTCTATATGTAAATTGAAATATTTGAGTGAAATACGATAATAACATTAAAGTATTACGAGAAGTAAAGGCACCTTATGAATGCTTCACGATTGCTTCACAAGACTTACAATTTACGTCGGCCAAGATATCGATCAAACTCCTAACCACCTATACTCCAAGAATGATAACATTTTAATGACCGATGTTCACGAAATTCCTGCGCTTCGGGTTTGAACAGAACTAGCACGATCAATATGTATACAATTTCTTTAGATCCGACCTGCTTTAGATAATATTGTACATTTTAATTTATCAAATCACACAAAAGTAATTTTCAATTAATTTTTGATTATTTCTATGTCTTCTTTTACAAATTTTATACTATTTAAAAAATTTTTAGTTCTAGAATTAAAAATTAAAATATTATTTTAATTACATAGTACATTTTTTCTTTTATCTTCTCTCTTTTTAAACACAAATTAAAATTACAATTATTAATTATTAATTGATTAATAACAAATAAAATATCATGATAATATATGACAGCTTAAGCTATTTTTTAGGAAAAGATGCCGCACCAGCCGTATCGCTATATGGTCGAACGAAATCAACGAAACTCGAAATTACACCAGCACCAGGCGATTACAATCCGTTAAAGGCGGAGAAGATAATTCTGGATAGCTCACCGAAATATTCTTTTGGCGTTAAAACGCAAATCGAGAAGATCAGCTGTACACCCGGTAAGTTTAAATGTAAACATGTATACCTATATGTGTAAGATATATTTTCCAGATTTTAATTGGCAATAACACAGACATATAAAAATTTTGAAATGATGCGCGACGTAAAATTGAAGGTATATACATCGTAATTATATAAATATTTGTTTATATACGTCATCATAGAATTAATTCTTTAAAAAATATATATTTGTATCTTTTTATAGAAGATGTGTTATTATGTCACTTTCATATTATACATACAGGATGATTCAGAATAATTGTTTGTCCTTGAAACACCGCATTTGACTTAAATGAATTCTAAGATGAGTTTTCCTTTATCAAAATTTTATCTGAAGAAGTTAGTTTTTAAATTAAAAGAAAAAATAGTTAACAAATTACGAGACGCGTATAGAATATATTAAAGTAAACAGGAACGGCGTAAGTTATCGTCACCACGGATGATCATTCAGGATGCTTTCTGCGATTAGTTGCCTACACTATACGCGATGACGCACATGCACATATACAAGAGAAAGAGAGAAAAAGAGACAGAAACAGAGAGAGATACTCACACATGCACTCATTAACTCTCATTCACTCACTCACTCATTACCTTGATTCGATGTCTTCGTACGTTCGCAGATTTATTCATGCACTTGATTTATTGATAACAGAATTAGTTCGAAAATAACTCAATTTAAAAACTAAGCTTCAGAAAATTTTAATTAAAGAAAAATCGTCTTAAAATTAAGTCAGGAATATGGTATTTCGAGGACAAATAATTATTCTGAATAATTTTGTATATTATTTTAGATATGCATAGATGTATATTTATATATATTCATTATTCGGATAATTTCATGTTCTACAATCTACTACATTTAACTAGATCGTAACTTCTTTAGATTTTACGCTAAAAGTACAGAATTCTGACTAAACTAATCTATGATTATTGTGACAAACGTAATCTTTATATTATTATGACATATTACAATCTATAATATCTCAATCTAAAATGTAACTAATCCTACAGAGTTTACGGTGATTATTTCGTTAGAAAGAAAAATTTGATGGACTGCGATATGTAGAATAAATGGCTATGTTCAGCAGAGAAAGTATCTTTGCAATTGTTGTAAAATTCTTCAATTGGTTCTTGCTTTTGATTTCTTATGGATCTAAATGTATAAATTAATCATATTGAAGAATTTTACATGCGAAGAATGTAAGAAACAAGAATTTTACACAAGAATTTTCTAATATAGCCATAATGTATATATATTATCCTCTAATCTATTGCAATAAGATATATTGCAGAATTTATGATTTCATATATAGTCATTCCATATATAGTCATTAGACTGATAATCATTAAAATAACTGCACACAAATTATTACAAATATTATCAATATAAAATTTTAGTTGTTGCAACTGAAAAATTTTGTACGAATTTAACAGATAATCGAAAAGCACCACTTACGTCGTATACTCATATTGTGTCTATATATAAAACATAAATTGCATCTCGATTACCGAGCGATTATTGCACTGAAATCTGTACAAAGCAGCAGCATTTACTTTCGGCATAAAAGTTGTATTGGAAATCGAATAATATGTCCGGTAATTATATGTATAGTCAGTTAAATGCAGCCGCAATTCGAGTATTTCGTGCTAATAGCAACTTTTGGCAAACTAATAAGAAAAATGTTCAGCTGCTTCAAAATAATACAAGACTATAAATAGATCGATAAAAAAAATTTAGCATGTTGATTGCAATTTTGTATAACAGAATTTATGTGTTACAACAAATATGCGTTTCGAATTGTATTATTTAAAATTACTTAATATCGTGTGTGCAATAATTACTAAATGTCAGTTGATTTCATCCATCTCTGAAATAATTCTCTCGTTTCGCGATTATACGCGGAATATTTTCATTAATGTATTATTTTTCAAAGCTTTAAAAAATATTGTGGAAAATTTTTAAATAATTAATAAATTACATAAATCATATATAGAGAAATGTATCTACTACATTATATTATATCGATGCAATAATGTTTAGGAAAATCGATGCTACTGCAACTAATTGGCGATTAGTTATGGGACTTCATTTGAGGATTATTGTATCAAAAGTCGATATTCAAAACTATTATCACTGAAGAATTGATACTTAGGTACAAAAATATTTTTAAATAAGATTTTTTTTAAATATAGAAACATTAAGGCTCACGTACTTTAGCGTGATATGAACGTAATGAATTTGAGATTTCTAAGCACTGTAAATTTCTCAGAAGATATATATTATTATAAGATATATATTAGATATATATTATTATTATACCAATGAATTGATAGCAACAATTTTTATTTTTCAATTTTTATTCCCTTTTCTGCCTCTGAATATTCTATTTCAATTTTTAAAATCCACAGCAATTAACTATGCACTGTGTGGCGTTTAAGATGTAGGTAAAAGTAATTGTGTGTGATTAATATAGACCAATTGATGCAATTGGTAAATAAAGAGAACGTAATATTTTTGATAATTAAAGATGTGCAATGCGTGCTAAATTGATAGCGTAGTTAACACGTAGTCGCATACATGTGAAGTTAATATAGTGTAGTGTTGCTTATCACCGTAAATAAATAAAGTAATACTGCATGTCTCGCGATATATGTTAGATCTTTGTATCTTACACCGTAATATATCATTCTCTACGTCCAGAAACTTGACAGTACTGCAAATAAAAAAACTGCCATTCACGACAGAACTTGTAAAATTTATCGACAAGTATTTAGCTCCAGATATTTATCATCCCGAAAAAATGAGAATGGATAAAGCACCGCAGTTCACGTTCGGACTTAGAATGTCGCTCGATAAGCCGAGCGACACGCCAGGTATATAATACAAAAAAAATATGAGAGATGAAAAATTAGAATTCTAATTAGATAGCAAGTCTTTTCTATTGTATAATTTTATTTTATTTTCCTATATACAAATAATTTTACTAAACAAAATTACAGAGAATACTAGTTATATGTAATTTAATATCCTGAAAATTTTTTTTCAGAATTCGCACAATTTTTCAGAATTTCTATATAAACAGAATTTTAGAAAATTCTTGTATAATTTTATAACTTTTTGAAAAATTTCTCAATTTTTTTTTAATGAATTAGAACATTTTTCAGAAATGTTAAAAAAGTCTACATCTTTTGTAATCTTTTATACATATATATATATTAGGTGTTGGAATTAATTCGTAGCGTTTTACAAGTGATGGGAAGTACTTTCATTAATGTATTTTTTAATGCTCATGTGAAATAAATAACATTCTTTCATTAAAAACGCTACGAATTAATTCCAACACCTAATATATAAATTCTCTGAAATATTAATAATTTTTCATTCTATAATTTGGTAAAAAAACTTATAAAATCTGAAAAGTTTTAAGATGTTTTTTAAGAATCTTTGTAAATTTAAAATATAACAAATTCTTAAAAATATTATGAGATATAAAAATTTTGTTCACCAGATACATGATGCTTTCTCGTCTTGCAATTTTAAAGAGAAAAATTTTATTTTTAATTTCTCTATACGTATTCATGTTATAAACGTCTATCTTTATTTATTTTATAATGTATTTGTTTTTCCTGATATATAGCGCCCGGAACATACAGCCCAGAGAAGGTGAATTTGGAGAAGGGCCCGCAGTACAGTTTAACTGGCAAAAACCAAATAGAGAAATGCAATGGTACACCAGGTACATAAAGATTCATGCATCTGTTTTACGAATCTCGACTTTTTTCTGAGAAAAATACAACAGGGAATTTTCTTTAACAGCGCCAGGTGCGTATTGTCCCGAGAAAGTAAAATTGGACTCATCACCGAAGTTCAGTTTTGGATTAAAGCCTGCTGTGGAGAAACCGAACGATACACCAGGTCCACATAATAAATTGCTTATTACATGCTTACAAAATTAGTTTTATCACCAATTAAATGTTACAATTATCACATAAATCTATTTTTAGCACCAGGTACTTATAGCCCAGAAAAAGTGAATTTAGACAAAGGTCCGCAATATAGTTTGAGTGGTAAAGGATCCGCTGAAAAACCCTTAGATACGCCAGGTATATAAAAGTTATAAGAACTAGCCAAAATAAGTTGTATATAGATGTAAAAGTACATTGTGATTTCCAGCGCCTGGAACGTATTTTCCGGAAAAAGTAAGATTAGATAATACACCGCAATATAGTTTCGGAATTAGACATACCCTGAATAAACCCAGTGATACACCAGGTAAGTAAGATTCTGTTAGTACAGAAGAAGAATAGATTCTTATTGTGTGTACCTACTTTTATTTCGTAGCACCTGGAACTTACAGTCCAGAGAAAGTAAACTTAGATAAAGGACCACAATATAGTTTAACTGGCAAAGGGCTTGCAGAGAAATTTATTGATACACCAGGTATATAAAACTGCTCATAAAATATGTAATTTTTTAAATATATTAATATATCAACAAATATTTAGCGCCGAGTGCGTATTCACCTGAGAAGATAAAATTGGATACTACGCCGAAATACAGTTTTGGACTTAGAACTCCTCTAGATAAACTCAGTGATACACCAGATATAATTAATGATTAATTAATTACTTATGTTATTTATTATTTTTATATCATTATGTTTTGTTATATGGTATCTGTATGCAGCGCCTGGAACTTATAGCCCAGAGAAGGTAAATTTGGACAAAGGACCGCAATACAGTTTAACTGGCAAAGGATTCATTTCGAAAGCTAACGATGTTCCTGGTACGTTTTAGACATTTTTTAAAAATACGATTATGATATCCTTCATCGTTTATCTTTGTCATAGCACCTGGCACATATAGCCCTGAAAAAGTAAATTGGGACAAAGGACCGCAGTATAGTTTAGTCGGAAAAAATTAAATGACAATCCAGGTGAATAACACGTCATCATGATAAATTTTTTATCGAGACACACATTTCTTCGACATACTATTAACATAAAAAAAATAATTTAATGAATAATAATAGATAATATTAATTTCTCTGACTGGCTTGCCTATAGGCCCTGCTGATTATAAACCAGAGAAAGCTCTAAATCTGGAACATAAACCTTATTACAGTTTTGGTGATAGAAAAACTTTGGATAAACCTAAAGATACACCAGGTAACGGTGTGGATTAACCCGCTGTAGATTAACATTGCACTCTTAGCGTTTTCTACATAAATGGGCGACATGAAAAAAAAAAAAATAATAAACAACTTGATTTTTAAAAAAATCTGCTTTTGGTAGGTCTAGTCGATTGTACTCCAGAGAAAATTCTAAATCTGAAACATAAACCAGATTTCAGTTTTGATAATAGAAAACTCCTTCATAAATCCCGCGATACACCAGATAATGGTGTAAATTAACGAGAACCTATCTAATATAATCTAATAATCTAATATAAATGAGAATGTAATAATTACATAGAACAAAAAACATTAATTTCTTTTTGCTTTGGTAGGCCCTGATAAATACAATCCAGAAAAAGTTCAACATTTGGAACATAAACCTTATTTTAGTTTCGGTAATAGAAAGCCTTTGTATAAGACTAACGATATACCAGGTAATCGGTGAAAATTAATAGAATGTTAATTATATTTTTTCTTACAAGGAAAGATCGAAAAGTGAGATTATTTTCAAAGGTTTATCTCTTCAGAATGAATTCGGGCAACAAACAAGAAATTGTTTATTACGTGTCAGGATACTTTCTATATATATTGCCAGTTTCATAATTTTTTAAATTTCTGAATTGGGAGCCTTTCCTTGTTAGATTTATCATGAAATTATATATAAATGCAATGTATTGTGCGATTATAGGCATGCCATAGTCATATTAAAATGCTTCAAACTTTTTTCATTAACCATTTGCGAAAATAAACAATTGTACATAATATTATTAAGATTAATAATGTTTATTAGAAAATAAAAAAAATAGATATTATCGCTATGCTTCGATTTGTTAACATTTTAATTCGATCGTCTTTATGCGGAACTATATTGTAATAAACAAGTATAATAAATGTGTAAACATCATATGTGTCATGTTTTTTAAATATATGTCGTAGTATTAGCGTAGTGCCTAATAAACTTGTGCACGGAATAAATGTAATAATTACATACAATTGATATTTTTTTTTAAATATACAAAAGCATTTTATAATTTATTTTGCAGCTCCCGGTACATACAGTCCTGAAAAAATAAACATGTCTAAGTCGCCGCAATATAGTTTCGGCATTAAAACTGAGATTTGTGAGAAAAGCACTATACCAGGTGAGTTACATTAATTATTCATTAATTTGTTTCTTTTACATTAATATTCTAATTTTATATTCTCCGATGAAAATTTTTCTTAAAATTCACTTTTTAAATTTCGATATAAATTTCATAACATTTTAGAAAATTTCTTTGATTTTTTAAATACAAATTAGAACATTTTTTAAAAAATGATAAGAAAGTCTAAAGAGTTTTTTTTAGAATTCTTTACCTTAAATTCTAATATATTATAAGATTTCTCATTACATAATTTCTGAAGAAAACTTATAAAATTTAGAAATTTTAAGATATTATTTTCATAAATTTAAAACATGAAAAATTCTGTAAAACATTAGGAGACATTATGAGAATTTTTTCACCCAGATTCTTATAATTTATTATATAATGCACAAATTATTTTATAAATTAATCTATCATTCAATAATCTAGGTCCTGGCGAATACAATCCAGAAAAGACAATGCTTTTGTTGGAAAAAGCGTTGCAATTTACTTTTGGCCTTAGACCACCCTTGAATAGATCAAACGATGTTCCAGGTAAATAATTAATCAATTCTATCTATGGTAAATATGAAATTGCATGTTATATATAAAGCATGTTAGTATAGCCCTAATTTTATTCGCGTATATTGAGATGCATGGAATACAGAATCGCAATAATTATTAGGTGTTGGAATTAATTCGTAGCGTTTTTTAATGAAAGAATGTTATTTATTTCACATGAGCATTAAAAAATACATTAATGAAAGTACTTCCCATCACTTGTAAAACGCTACGAATTAATTCCAACACCTAATAGTTTTACAATAGATAATTGGTGTATTTAATCATTCTGCTTTTCATCAATGATTTGACGATTTTTATTCGTACATTTTATGCTCTGTAAAATATTTAATGAGATGCAAATCTTTATCAGAAATATAATTTCACGAAGATATGCTACGGACCATACTAAAAAAATGTAAAAAAAAAAAGAAAGAATACGACGTAAATGGTGAATAAGATTCTTAAATAAGGAAAGAATTCTAAATTCTGAGGAGAAAAAAATAGATTGATCAAATTTCAGCACCCAATATCTATAACATTCCTTCTGCCCTCGGCGGAACTAAAGAGGGTAATAAAAAAGCAGCCCCTGCCTATTCAATATCCGGTAGGCAAAAAGTTTTTACGGACGATCGTGTTCTCGTACCTGGACCAGGTGCATACGAGTGCATTAAACCAGACACAATCAGAATGAAAAGTCCAGCATATAGCATGAGTGCGCGTTTTTCCCTGCCCGACGATCACTCGCAGATCCCAGGACCTGGAGCACACTGCCCGGAAAAGGTACCGCATAGCTAAAGCAAAATCTATTGAAATGTAATATAATATATATTTAATATAGTATAATAAGTATATATATATATATATATATATATATATATATATACTTATATATATATATATATACACACATATATATATACACGTCCTATAAAAATATATAATGTGTATGTGTATGGCAGATCAATCAAAAGTAGCTTTCTCATGCGCAGATTCTTCTATATTAAAGGGTCTCTAGTGCAGATTATTCAAGTACCTATTAAGTAGATTCTATTCCAAAATAAAGATATTCCTGTTAAAAGAAATCATGTGCTTTTTATTAATAATAACTTTTTATTAATAAAATAAGTAGTATATTTTCCAGATGTTCACATTATTGTTTACCCCTTGTAATTCTAATAGCGCTAGATTGTTAGAGCTATTGCAGAGAACGAAACGTATTTTCCCAAGGTTTTTACAACTGCGTACGTCTACATTTTTCTTTGCAGTAACAACCCCACTCCGTCACGACTACGACAATTACATCTCGTCCTGTTTCGTTCTCTACCATAGCCCTTAGAATTGAAAAATGTAACGTAACAATATTCAATAATATATTATAACATAATATAATGATACATAATTAATTAATGCAATTATTCATATTTCAGGTGCTTCTCGATATTCCCCCTGCGCATACATTTGGCATCAGGCATTCACCCTATATTTGTAATTTGAAGGATGCAGTTTGTTAATTCAGCAATTAGTAATAATTAGTAATTTATCAACTAAAGCATAGTATCTTTTTTATTATTTGACATGATTAATTAACAAATTTCAAAAACAATCAAGTTATATATTTTTTTTCTTTTTATTTCTTTGCTATATTAATTATTACTAATTCCGCAGAAAAACGTTAGTAGAATAAATAAAAATATATTATGCTTACAATTAGATATAACTATTATGCTACACAACAAAAAAATTAAATATATACGAATTAAATATATATCGTACATTAAAATTACAAATAAATCTAAGATAATAACAATGTATACATAGTATGAACATTTTGATATTATTTACTTGTGTGTAGCAATTAATTTATCATATTTCAACTAATGTAAAGAAACTTTGTGCAATATAATACGTATAAAGGAGGATGTTAAGGTTTGTTTATTTCTTTGCAAAACAAAAAATTTCGAGATATACAAATTTTGACGTTATTGTGATATAAACGTGATAATTATATATCATACTAAAAACTTAAAACGGTTTCGAGTGGTGTATTATGGAGTAACATCGTGTGTGAACGTGGAAGAAATTAAAAACAAATCTAAAAAACAATCAAGTACAATATAATGCTCATCAATCGCTCAAAAATTTCTTCTCACAAATTGTACGTGTTTAACATACAGTTCTTGTTACTTAATGCCTAGAAAATGTCTTAATGTCTTACTTACAATTTTTTATCAATAAATATAATAACATTAAATTTAGTAAATTTTTTTACGATTTTTTCCATATTCTCAATAGTTCTGTTCTTTTTTTTTTAACAGAATTTCTTGCATGGTTCATTTTTTTCTCTTTTTTTTCTCAAAAGGTTTCTACAAAGAACATTAAATATTTTCCCTTAAAATAAGCGATATACCACTCAACTTCGTAATGATCCTTCTTACTTCAAGTAGCCTTAATATAATATTTAATTTAACATCTTGAAACTTTTTCATTTTGATTAAAAAACAGATAAAACTTAACATCATCCTTTGTAAATATAAATGTGACATTAACTTTTCTATGAACTGCTGTTTTTCACTAACGTCATGAACCGTGGGTCTTTTTTATGTCAGTACCGCATTTCTTCTAATAAATTAGTTGTGAAAAAAAAAGAAAAAATGTATTATTTTACATCTCTCTACTATAATATATTCTTTTTGAACTCAAATATTATGTTGTTTTCTTCAAATATTGTGTTGCACAGCAAAATGCAAAGGGAAAACATAGAAAATTTTTAATTGTTGAAAAGAAATCACAATTTTTCAATGAGTTGAAAGAAAAAGAAACTACCTAGATTCACGCTGAGGGATAATTCCTCACGGAAAAAAAAAACACTTTAGAGAGTTAGGAAAAATCCTATTTATTTTGAAAAGTCGAAATTGTCATTTTTTTTAAACAAATTTTTTGAAAAAAACAAATTTAGTTTTTAGTCAGAAAATTATTCATTTTATGTTTTATTATGTATTATTCATTTTACAAAATATGAAATAACATGTTAATACAAAGAAATTTTATAATATTATGAAAAAATTTGTTGAAGGAGAAGATTCAAAAGAATTGTCTTCATCGATACTTTGTAGTTCCTACGTCAATTCATCAATATTAACTACACAGTATTTGTTAATACTGACCGTATTATTGACCGTCATTTTAGGGTCATTTTTAGAAACTCGTAAAGGATAAGTGTATAACGAACAGTTGCATGTAAATACATATATTATTTACATACATTCGAAATGAATGGATTATTCATTACAGCAGAAAATGCTTTATAACTCTGAAATAAATGGTTTCTAAAATATTGCTTATTAAGACCTTTCGATTAGTTTTCACGAGTACTAAATATTTCTAAAGTTTGGTACCACCTTTTTTGAACACCCTGTATATACAGGATAACAACCACATCAACTCTCATGAGCAAATAGAGCGGACTGAGTCGAAAGTCCTGTCATCATTTTGCAATTTTCGCAATAGTTAAAAATTAATATTTTATTAAATATTGCAAAAATTGCGAGATGATAGAGGACTTTTCGGACAACCTACATTCCTCTATAATTGCATATATATATATATATATATATAAAACAACTTTATATCCATTTTTTATAAAATGATAAATTTATTATTTAAATAAAAAATTATGAGTACAAATATATAAAAATTTCAGTATAAGTACAAAACTACTTTTCTGCAATAAATTCAAGGCTTCCGAGTAGTCGGCTATATTGAATCATGATGTCAGAAGCGAGAAATGACACGTTAATTTTTGTTGCATGCCACCTGTGAATAAAAACAATTTAAATAAAATAAAATGATAATATCGCTTGAAAATAATTGTAAAATGGACGAAAGATATCCTTATCCCTCTGATAGTCAGTAAATAATCATAAAAAGTAACGAAAAGCACATGAAGTGCTTTTATTCAATGCACATGTGTAACTTATTTCCACTTACACGTGCCTTTTCGACTATTTACTATCAGGGGAAATAAAAACAGTTTTTGTCTATTTTTATAAATGTTTTAAAAAAATCTCATTATTTTGTTTTATCAAAGTTATCTTTATAAATGGCACGTAATAAAAATTAATGTGTTACTTCTCGCTTCTGACATCACGATTCAATATATGAGGCTATGGTGTCTATTCAGGAGCCTTAAGTCTTTTTATTATAACAGTCTCTCTTATGAATCTTTCACTATCATTTTTACAGCGTCCAGCCATTAAATATATACATTTGCTTTATACAGTAATTGATTCGGATTTATATCCGATAAGATACCTACTTACATTCGAGCATCAAATTGTTCCACGTAAAAAAAAACTGTTAATATTCTTCTCATAAACACAATCTCCTGAAATCCATGTTGACAACACTTCGAGTTTCTTATCAAGTAATATGAAATCAGCGTCGGCCCCAAAATTCAAAACACCTTTGTAAGAATCGATACCGAGAGTTCTCGCGGGATGTAAAGTCGCCGCTTCTAAGGCCTCAACTACTGTGCAACCTACACCAAACAATTACATTGCTAAGTATTACTTTAAATGAAATGATTTACGACTTCATTATTATAATTTACCTGTAGCTTCTTTAAAGTGTCTCACACATTTGGAAAGCTCGGTTATGCTACCACAGAGAGTATTTGTTTCAGCGATATATGCGCATCCTTTACGTATCTCTATTTTAAACTGTCCTAATTGATGGATTCCCTCTTCTAGACCTAATGCTGATATCGCATCAGTTACAAGCACCAGACCTACAAATGTTTACAGTTCAATTTTATTAAAATTATAACGACATATTATAAAATAAGAAAGTATAAATGCATATAGTAAATACTGAACCTTCGGGATGCGTTCTATGAGCGATCCGCAATGCCGCAGGATGAGTATGAATCCCATCGGCGATTATACCAAAATGAATGATTCTTTCAGGCGGGATTTGGTCGGATGTTAACAGACCAACCAATCCTGGATCTCTATGATGAAACTATAATTGAAAAATATTATACATAAAAGATTTCTTAAAAATATAAATCGGCTATTTAATTAAAAATACTGTGTGAGAGAGAGAGAGAGAGAGAGAGAGAGAGAGAGAAAGAGAGAGAGAACAAAGGTAATCATATTTTAATATTATTGACGCTGAATACGATTCCATTTACCAAATCGCTCTATCACATCACAATTAAATAAAAAATTATGATTAAAGTATTTTAAAACTATTTTAGTTTATTATAATGTCAAATATTTTTTATTATAACATTTATCAAATTAATATTCGGCGTCCTAATAAGTTTGAATAACATAATTTAAAAAATATTTTTAATTAATAATAGTCTATGTCGTAACTATATGAGTGATAAATCTTATACTAATTATTATCTTATTTATTATATTAATATCTTATTAATCACAATCGATAAACAATTTCTTTAAACTAAAAATACAATATATTTAATTTTGATTGCAATAAATCTTCTGCAATAAATATTATAGTTATAATATAACAAAATATGCTAAAGTAAGTTCTTCTTGCAACATTAATAAATTTTTTATTTATTAATGTTGCAAGAAAATTTAAAAAATTTTTATTTATAAATTTTTACAAAAAATGACGTGATAGAATTATTTGATAAACGAGATCATCTTCAGCACCTAGAAAAATGAGAAACAATTACTTTCGTTCCTTGTGCACAAAAGTAATTTTTGAACATTATCATATATCTATATGTTATCATATATCTATATATCTATATTTACAACTCACAGGCAACATGGCATTGAATAAATGAGTGATAAATGATGCTCCATGTTTAACTGCTTTTTCTCCTTCATTTAAATTTGCTATAGAATGTCCTAAAACATACAAATTACCATACAAATTCAGTAAAGGAGAAATTTTATAACAATCGATGAGATTCAATACATATAAATTATAAGAATTAAAATATAGAACTTCAAAATAAGAAACCTTTACAATTGCATTTAATTATAATATGAAAGTACATTAGCAATGAGAGCTATTAAAACTTCAACTTACCAAGAGATACCTTAATATTTCTTCTATATAACTCTTCGATAACAGATGTAGCATTCGATATTTCAGGTGCCAATGTAAACATGCACACATTGTCTAGATCACCATACATATCAGTTACTGATTTAAATCCCTATTAGAAAATATATAAATTTAGCACAATATGTGTTGATTATTTTATAAATTTACTCAGAATAGATAGCTACTACCTGTTCAAATTTTCTGATATAATGTTCTGGATGGGCACCTTTCTTGTCTGGACTAATAAATGGTCCTTCTATGTGAACACCCAGCACACCAGCACCATGACTATCTCCATTTCGTTTTTTTATTCTTGGTAAGATTTTGTGATATATCTCAGTGGGAGATGTAACCAACGTAGGACAAAAGGATGTTACTCCATGTTCCAACAATCCTTTTGCTACTTTAGCAATGCCTCCTTCCACGTTATCAATATTACATGAAAAATCTATACCAAATCCTCCTGACAAATAAATGTTAGATATTAGATCATCGATTTATTTATAGAAGTATAAAATTATAACATTCTTATTAAATTATTATAATATCTACATTAATTGTAATAACTTATTTCTTTCACATTTCACATTTGATAAAATATTTTTAATCCTATTGTTCTCTCTTCATTTTAAGATCTATACAAATTGTTAATTTTTTGTTTAACAAAAGTAATAAAAAATATGTATGTGTAAAAAATTTCTGGTTTTACTCAAGTAAAATATATGCTGTACAATAGAATTTATTTGATTAAATACCATTAATCTGCACATCTATATATCCTGGTGAGATCAAAGCGCCGCCACAGTCTATTCTAACATCTGGCTTGATTTTTTCATCGTAGAAAATCTTCTCCGGATTCACTATTTTTCCATCTCGCACCCATAGATCCTCTGTCTGAATCCTGCTGTCACGCAAGATCTTGCAATTGCAAAATTGCTTCAGTACTCCTTTATTGTCTCGTAGCATGTTCAATGATTGCATGATTGGAAATAATCCTGAGTCACCTTAATTTCATAAATAAGAACCTTATCTGTATATCCAAAGCATTATCAATGGTTATCAATTATGTGCATTCACGACATTCACACATTCACGTTGCTGGAACGATTTAGCACTTAAATCACTAAAATGGCGATTGTTGGACGAGTATAAGTGACGATTCCTAACCCAACCAAAGATCCATCTTGATAAGAAAATTAGGTCACTAATGAACTCAATCAACTATGTTCAGCTGTAAGAACATAAAAAAAAATCTGTTCTTATTAAAAATTTATGATAACATGTAACTCATAATACATATTATAATAAACATTATTACATCTTTTTTTACTACAATAAATTCTACAATATTTCGTAACTATTTCTTATATTTAAAAATAAATATACACACAAAACATTAAATTATATCATTTTGACTTCTATTAAACTTGCATCTTAAATTAAATTGATGGTTTCTTTAATTAAACAATATTAATATTAATATTAAAAAAATATATTAATCAACCCTCCATCTACATCATGGCCATAGTGAGTCTTGTGAATCTTTCAAGAAACAGTCAAAAATTTTAAGCTTAGCTGTAGCATTGCCGGCTTATAATATAAAGAATAAAAAGAAGCAGATTAAATTCTGGGATGAAAAATGGACTCGAAATACGGTTTTGAAAAATATATACATCGCTACATGGTGGAAGAGATCAAGATGTGCTCGACTTCGAGACAAATTTCGTATGGCTGTGCAGATTCCAATGCCATTTAAACATTTGCACTACGGTAATTTTGGAGTAACATGTCGAGGGTTATCCACGAAAATTGCTTCCAATACCGACGAGATAGCATTCAAAACTGTTGATTTTATGGAAGTTCGCGTTACTATAAAAATTTAAGTTATTAAGAGTAAGAAACTAATAATATAGTACTAATTTTATAATTTATTAATATCCTGACACAGCTGACGTGCGCTTAATTCAAATAATCGCGGCAACATGGCGGATAAGGTGTCACTGACGTTAGTTATTAGAAAATATTTGCACGTATATGCGCAATAGTGCACCACGTCATATTGTACTCGGGTTTCTTCCATCATACACATCTGCACAACGAGAGCGAGTGAGAAACGATCAAGACCGATCTTAGATTTGAGAATCGATTCGTCGATTTAATTAGAACTTAAGAATCGATCTAGAAAATCGAGAATCGAAGGTAAAAGAATCGATATTTTAAAAAATCGATCTTGAATCGAACATCTCTATCAGCGATCCTGGGTGTAAGGAGGAAGCAAGTTGGAGGTGTTTTCCAGGTGTTTCTCTCTGTTAACGAAAAGTCGTGTTTCACATTCCATAGTTTTTCTCGGACGAGAATTTACGCCAAGTACTATCCAAGTAAGCAATCAAGTAAGTGTTTATCTCAGATAAATAAACGTTAAACTGATTCTATTTAGATTAGTAAGAGCTTTGGTTAACCTTAAATATTTTATGTTGCTGACGTTTGATTTTTTTTGAGATACTCTATTTTTACATACTGTATATTTTCTTTATTTCATCTTCATTATCGTTATAATTACATCCCAATACAGTGAATAATACAGTGAGTAGAAGTATTTTATAAACAGAGGAGATATTTTAGATACATTTTATTATATGCACACACAGGCATATACACACACACACACAGACATACACACACACGCACTCACTCACTCACTCACATATATATGTATTGCATGAGAGATTTTATTTCCTTTCAATATTTTTCAGACAATGGATGCATTTGGCGACAATTTTGTCAACGAACCTGATGTAGATCCAGCTGCAGAGTTCTTGGCAAGGGAGCAAGATCAGTTAGCTGGTTTAGAAGATGACATTACACCGATGGCTGTAACTCTGGCTGCAGCAGGTCAAACTGAAGGTAAACACTGTCTATATATAAATAATAAGTAGAAAATATTTCTAAAATTTAGATACATGTTGTTTATTTTGTATTGTATACATTTGAGTCCATCTGATTTATTTGTATTATACACATCTATACAACATAGACCTTCAAGGGATGGCCCAAAAATGTTCAGAGGACATTCCTACATCCTCTAAGTCTTAAAGATGTTCTTAGAATGTCTTTCAGATAAAGTGTGCTATATAGGTACAAAAATTATAAACATAAATATTTTATAGATGAGCTGTCTGGAAAATTTGGAAATTTAAAAGTTGGTCCAGGAGGTGACGCTGAGGGCAGTTTTGAAATCGTAGATACCATTGGACAGTCTGTAGAAGGACAAGTACCAGTAGCATCAGGTAGGAAATTAATTATTTTATAACATTTCTATCTTAAAAATAATTATGGCTATAACACACAAAACGCAGATACATCATAGAACATAAAATATGCAAATAAGATTTTCCTCTAGAAGTTTGCTTGCAAACGCTTCGTTTGAAATATTGTGACTTTTTAAGTTATGGAACTATAGGTATAAGTAATCTTTGCCTTCTTTATTGCTTTACAATAATCAAAATGTAATTATTAAATGTTTCGTTCAAAATAATGACCTCCAACCCTAAGACAATGACTTTTATATATTTTTATGTACTTAGAACCAGCACCTCCTCCGCCAGTTAAGGAGGAACCTGAAAAGATTAAAAAGTGGAGAGAAGAACAAAAAGCACGTCTTGAAGAAAAAGGTAACGCAATTTTATTGTAAGAATATTTTAAGAATAGTATGATTTATAAGTGTATATTATTAATAAGTGTGCAAATTATTTTTCAGATACAGAAGAAGAAAAAAAGAAAGAGGAATGGAGAGAAGCTGCAAAGAAAGAATTAGAAGAATGGTATAGGCATCATGCGGAAGCTATTAATAAAACGAAGACTACTAACAGGTAATTTTCCTAATCTTTTATCTTCTTTCTTCTTGTACACCTTTATTTCGTAAAAAACTGAACTAAATTATCTGAACTGAACTGAATTAAAGTAACTAAACTAAATTGTGATTGCTAATTAGAATATTTGATGATCGTCTATTAAACATATTTAACAAGGCTTGTATCCCTAATAACAACGTAATGTTTCTATTTAAAAAAATGATAATATATTAAAAATGTAAAATATTATTAAGAAATATAATTAATGTTGGACTAAGTTATTATGTCATTTGACTTACAATTAGTCAAATATAAGTAATATGGATTAGTCCATTATTATGCTATGTATAGATTTTTGAAGTTTTTAATTGTGTTATTTCCGTTTCGCTTCTTAGGGAATCAGCCAAGTAAGTTAAAATATCTTTATACGCATGAAAACATGCATTGCATTACATTTATGTGTTATTGTAACACGATTTGCTTTGCAAACTCTAAGACTAGAATTGCGTTCGCTTTTGGCGCTCACGCGTTGTAAGCTTCATTCTATTCATTTTCTCATTCATTACATACAAAAGAAAGAAAGAAAGAAGCTTACAGCAAGTGAGCGCAAAAAACAAACGCAGTCTCATAATATCCAAACCGAATGCAACCTATATTGCCTATTGAATGTAAATCAGGTGTATAAACTGCAGTTCTCTCTCCCCCCCCTCTTCCTATCTATCTTCCCCTCTCTCTCATACACATACTACATATCATGATATCGCTTCTTAAAGTCACTTCGAGATTGCACTAAATGACGTTGCTTAATAAGTTATTCTCAAAAGAGTATCTGTATATTTTATAATATCCATAAACTGATTAAGTTAAATGCACTTTATTTCTTGAATGCTGTTAATGATCCTATTGCCTTTCATACTAAAACTATTTCTACAAGTCTACAAAGAAAGAAAAGCTTATTAATTAAGCATTATTTGCTTACGCACAATATGGATACTATAAAGAACTGTGATTGCATAACTCTTACATCAAGTTTAATAGCTACAAGTTACACTTGTGTCTGTATCACATAATAATATCAAAATACAAATTTTTTTTTTAATCTTTTTCTCTGCGATATATTAATGAAATAGAAATGTCATTTAATTTCTCATTTCTTTACATTACTAACTGATATACAATGCATGATTTGGCATTGATTTAATACATATTTCTTCACGAATAGGAATGCGGAAAAGCAATTTGTCGCTGAGGCAGATGAAGTTGAACCAGGTACTGAGTGGGAGCGCATCGCCAAACTTTGCGAATTCAATCCAAAATCGTCTCGCACTTCCAAGGACGTTTCCCGGATGCGTTCGATCATTTTACAATTAAAACAGACACCGCCCACTCCCATTAATGCTTGATTACATTAAAGTTATTGTCGCAATTAAATCTTGAGAATATGAATTACAATAAACAACAAGAAAAACTATGATTAAAAAAAGATATAATATACGTCGTGATTACGACAATATTAACAAAAGCAAAATTCACATATGTTCTGTTAAATAAGTAATATTATTATATATAATAAAAGTTATTAATAATAAATACATTATAAAGTATGAGTAAAAACATGCATTTTTTTGCTTAAGGTATGACGGAGAGACAAAATTTGAGGAAATCGGCGAATGTATTTTTTAATAATGAGTATTTATTATAATTATAGACAATGAACAATAAAAAGAAGTTATGCTAATTTTAAAAACTTGAGCACGAAGGCTTCTAGTTACGAGTCTCTGTAAAAGTGTCTCAAAATATATCCTCTTGTTTTACTTCGAATATATTTATGATTTGCTTATTATCCAACAACATTGTGCAAAAAAGGTTCATATCTGGAGATACGGTAGTGTCTCGGCGCTATATATTTTAGCGACATTAATACAGTTTAAAACTTTTTGAGGTCAGAGAGTTGCGTCAACATTAGCTAACTTTAGGTAAATTAGTTTTTTTTTCTTTGTTAATATAGAATAAGAAACAATCCAACCGTAAATCTAAAATTTGGCAATTCAGATTCTTGAGATTATACTTTGTTCAACAAAAGTTTTATCATCCTTTGCACATAGAAGGCGACTTAGCGGACGAAGTGTAGATGTATCCTGTATCATATATGTAAACATTCGAGTAGGCTTAGAAAATCATGCGGGTGAAATAATCTCGACATCCTCACTTTGCCTATTATGTTGTCTCCTATGCGCGAAGAGTAATAAATGTGTTGAATACAGTATAGATATTTAATTTGTAAATAGTTTTTTTCTGAGGGATGTCTTGTTGAATCTGTAAATTAGAAAAAAAAAGATTTATGTATTAACATGAAATTGTGACATTACAAACAATGTCACAGTTTTTAATAAATCATACTGTATAAAGCGTTCATTACGATTCATTAAAAAAATAAAATAAAATTTAATGCAATATTATATACCTGTATGGATCACGTTTCATAGCTAACTGCATGTCGTGTCGCCAACGGTAAATATAAGGATACGTATCAGGACAAATCGTAAATGAAAGTGCGGTGTAAACAGCATAATCTAATTTCGTTGGTGAAGATCTAAAAATATCAACAATGATATGAAATATATTTCATCTTAGTGTAAAAAATAATAAAAGAAATTTGTTTACCCTTCGATAAATATTAAAGGACCTTCTTCTGCATCTTGCATATCGTCATCAAAATCGTCTTGAACAAGTTCTGGCGAGGATGGAGGTGTAAAAAATTCTAAACTATCTGGAAGATAAACAGTTAACATCAATTGGATTATAATAAAAGATTAAAAATGGATTTAGACACAATAAAAGAAATAAAGAATAATAGATTTCAACCTACCAGAAACCGAATATACCGGAATGCACGGATAGGATGAAATCTGTTTTCCCTTGTTTTTCCTTATTTCTTTCATTGTATCTGAGTCCTGGGATATTATTATTTCACAGAGGAGAAAGGAGATATAGATATAAGATTTAGAAAAATTAGATTCTATAGAGAAACTAAACACGTGATACCTGTATCTTCTTCATTATTATCAATTTCAGTATTATCATCAGTAGTTAATGAGCACATCTTTAATTTATCACAAACGTATTGTATGTCGTTGGCAT